GCACAGTCGCAGTTTGGAAATTGCCCTTCAAATTTGAGGTGGCTAGAGTGGAGTTTCAATGAATGTCAATGGGCGGCGTGAGTTGCAAACAAATTGTCATATTATGAAAACTATCAGGACTATGGCTTAGCCGTGGACATTTTTAGTGGCAGCAGAGATAGCTGAACGTTTTGATATAATATTTGTGTAGGTGGGCTTGAAAATGAGTGATGGCAGTTTAGATATCATGTCCTGATTTGTCAGCTCCCACTCTAGTTTTGAACATTCCGCTAATCATTCCTATGGGACCAATTTCACCACAAAAACTCCAATATTTCGTGAACCATTCGGCAAAACGTCCCACAAAGTAATACACCAATCGGGAACAATCTGCACGTTTCGGTATATTACTGTCTATGTAGTGTAAAAACTGTGGGAGGAGTTAGGGGGGTAAATTTGGCTATAATAATAGGAATATATATGTGAGATAACAGGAAGTGGTCTGCCATGCAAGAACACCTAATAATAGTAAAGTTGCATCACTCTGACTGTTGTAATGGAGGTATACGAGAGATACATTTTGGTCTTGTGTACTGTGCATTAACCTACGTTAGCACTTCCTCTGTCACCTGCATACAGATACTTGATTGGATGTATGGCACCCTTCAATGAGAAAGCTGAAGATTTGGTGGAGAGACTTGCAGAAAAGGCTGATGGAAAAGCTGAGGTTGGAATGCATGATATGCTGAGCAGAGTCACCCTGGATGTCATCTCAAAGGTACCTAGAATGAACAGATTTGGGTTTTCTGTTACTTCAAGGTTGCCCATACACCAGCAGATGGTGTCCAATTTGAACACCCCATGCCTGGACTTTGATTAGATTTGTCTTAGCATCTGAAACATCCAGATACATTCAGCCTTTTAGCTGAACTCCCTGACTGCACATAGGACAATGAATGCAACCCTAGTGCAAACATTGCTCACAATGAGCAGGACAATTCGCCATATGCAACTCAGACTTCCTCTCAGTTAGCAAAGTCCATGTACGCTATATTGCCAAAAGTATTGGGCCAGCTCTCCAAATCATGTGATTCAGGTGTTCCAATCACCTCCATGGCCACAGTTGTATAAAATCAAGCCCCTAGGCATGCAGACTGCTTCTACAAACATTTGTGAAAGAATGGGTCGCTCTCAGGAGCTCAGTGAATTCAAGCGTGGTCCCGTGATACTCTAAGTTGCCACCTAAATAAATCCATATGTGAAAATTCCTGGCTACTAAGTATTCCATGGTCACCTGCTAGGGGTATTATAACAGAGTGGAAGTAACTGGGAACAACAGCAACTCAGCCACCAAGTGGTAGGCCATGTGAAATGGCAGAGCGGGGTCAGCACATGCTGAGGCACACTGTCTGCAGAGTCAATAGCTAAAGACCTTCAAACTTTGTGTGGCCTTCAGATTAGCACAACAACCGTGTATAGAGAGCTTCATGGATTGGGTTTCCATGGCTGAGCAGCTGCATCCAAGCCTTATATTGCCAAGTGCAATGCAAAACTTCGGATACAGTGGTGTAAAGCATGCTGCCACTGGACTCTAGAGCATTGGAGACATGTTCTCTGGAGTGATGAATCATGCTTCTCTGTCTGGCAATCCGATGGACGTGTCTGGGTTTGGTGGTTACCAGGAGAACGGTACTTGCCTGAATGCAAAGGGCAAAGTGTAAAGTTTGTAGGAAGGGAGATTATGGTGTGGGGTTGTTTTTCAGGGGTTGGGCTTGGCCCCTTAGTTCCAGTGAAGGGAACTCGTACGGTGTCAGCATACCAAGGCATTTTGGACAATTTCATGCTCCCAACTTTGTGAGAAGAGTTTGGGGATGGCCCCTTCCTGTTCCAACATGACTGCTCACCAGTGCACAAAGCAAGGTCCATGGATGAGTGCATTTGGGGTGGAGGAACTTGACTGGCCTGCACAGAGTCCTGATCTCAACCCCATAGAACACCTTTGGGATGAATTAGAGCGGAGACTGTGAGCCAGGCCTTCTCATCCGACATCAGTGCCTGACCTCACAAATGCACTGTGGTGACATGATCAGGGGCTCAAACAGGTGCTGGGAGCTGTCTGTGACAGCTAGGCCACTGTGCTGGGAGCATGCATTGAGCACGTTGTTAGCACAGAAACTTTGCCCACCGTGGACCCAAGCTCCCTTCTGCAGCACATTTGCATTATGTAGATGACAAGATGTTCAAAGTGCAGGGACACATCAAACACATGTTGATCTTCTAAAAAGTCCAGTGTGGTGCTAACTTCTTCTGTGGGCTGACAACAGTCTTTTCTGCACTGAAATCCCAACTAGTCCTGCATGCAGTTCTGTAGTTCAGCCTTGCATGCTGGGCTACAGAGCACTGCCATTGCCTTGTCCCTCTCCTCAATATTGATTTCTTTACCAGCAAAGAAATGCTGCTGCCTTGACTCCCAAGAGCCTAGTTAACACAGTGTGTAGGGAAAGGAATCTTGGGTGTTCTAGTTCTGGGGGTGCAAGCCTACATCGATAAGAACTGGCCTCCCAACAGCTGAAAGAATTTTGAAGCCTGGTGATGGCTTCAAAGGGTGGAATAAAAGTTGTTTCTGGGACATGCAGTAGAGGATGTGAGGGAGGTTTGCAGTTAAATCTAGGCAGAATCTGGACATACAATATAAATTATTGTTTGTTTTTTTCTAGGTAGCATTTGGGATGGACCTGAATTCCATGGATGATGATCAGACTCCGTTTCCTCGAGCCATATCCCTGGTTATGAGAGGATTAGTGGAAATGAGAAACCCATTTATTAGGGTGAGAACTTGATTGATTTGTCCATCTTGCAATGTGGGCCCATAACAGACTGATGCCCTTAGCCCATAGTACTATGATCATATTGCTGCTGCTCTCTACAGTATGCAATCACATTTTCCAATGCTCCTGGGTTATGTTCTGTTCTTAGGAGTTGCGGGTGACAGCACTGCAGAGGCGGTGAGTATTGCAGCCTGAAATTAATTTTTTTTTTTTTTTACAACACCTGGGGCATCTAAAAAAATGTAGCAAAGTGCCAGTTTACTCAGCATGCTCAGATGTAGGTGCAGGCCCTTTTACCTCTTTTTGCAACAAATCCTTGGGTTCCTGAACACACCCATAGAAGATATGTTTCTCAACTTTCCTCCCTCAGTAGCTCCAAAAAGCCACACCTGATGAGGCAAAGGTAGCTGAGCAAATTATCCGGACGGGAAGCCTTTACTATCAGAACTGGCATGTGGACAGCTGGGCCAGAGCCTGATAGCACACAGCTTCTCAAAATGACTTAAAGTGGTTGTAAACCCCAGACATTATTATTATTATACAGTATTTACAAAAAGCGCCAATGGTTCGCTCAGCGCTGTACATTACAAAGAGGGACAGAACATGTGACAGAACAATACCAATACAATGCAAAACATGAGGGGATCGAGGGCCCTGCTCCTTGGAGCTTACAATCTAGGAGGGAGGGGATGGTGGCACAGGAGGAGATAGCTGTGGGGGATGGAGTGGTAGGAAGAGTGGAGGAGGTCGGAAAGTTAGCAGGGGGTGGGGTAGGCTTCCCTGAAGAGATGGGTTTTCAGGGTGCGCCTAAAGGAGAGGAGAGTAGGTGATAATCTGATGGGTTGGGGCAGGGAGTTCCAGAGGATGGGTGACACCCTGGAGAAGTCCTGGAGGCGGGCATGGGAGGAGGAGGAGACCAGGGAACTAGAGAGAAGGAGGTCTTGTGAGGAGCGGAGTGTGCGTGTTGGGTGGTACTTGGATATTAGGTCGGTGATGTAGTTCGGGGCAGTATGGTGGACGGCTTTGTACGTCAGTGTTAGGATTTTGAATTTGATCCGTTGCGCAATCGGAAGCCAGTGGAGGGATTGGCAGAGGGGGGTGGCGGAAATGGAGCGGTTGGAAAGGTGAATGAGTCTGGCAGCTGTATTCAGGATTGACTGAAGCGGGGATAGCCAGCGGCGAGGCAGGCCAGTGAGGAGGCACATGAAATATGAATAAAGCATACCCCTCTATAGTGTGTACTTGTCTCATTCCAGAACAGTATGTGTCCGTTCTGTTTGTTGCCTTGCTCCTCTGCTATCTGCACGAGTCACTTCTGACAAGTTTTCCTGACACCAAAAGATAAATGGTGATGGGGAGGGCACAAACTGTGATTGACAGCCTCAGCTCTGTTCCTGTATGCTGTGTGAAGGAAGGGTGTGCCCCTTCCCTCCAATCAGTTCTCAGAGCTCTCCTTACTGATGAAACTTCAGCTCTCTGCCCCCTTCTTTTCAGAGCTGAGAAATCCTGTGTAAATTCTGCATTTTGAATGGATGTAGGGGACAGATGGCTGTTGATAAACAGGTACAACGTATGTAGGAGGATTTGTTTCATCTCTGTGTATCACCTCTCTGGGTATATGTAAGGGTTTACAACCACTTTAACTAATGTGGGGTGCCCCGCCCCAACTGCTGCAAGAGTAATATAGTTTTAGTGGGAGGGTGCTTTGTCCTTGGATCCCTCCAGCTGTTTGCATGTGTTACCAGAGCTACCCTGGACTTCATTATAAGGGGCACTGTTTATGGGGACAGTTGCGGGAAGCTGTGTTCTGAACTATTTTACTGAAGTTGTGACCCTCAGCTGGACTCCCTCTTGCTACAGAGTCTTGTAGGCACTATATGGTCACATATAACTTTGAGTCCCAGAGACACTACCGTGAAGAGTCCGTGTTTGCGCAACTTTCATGACCTGTCTTGCCGTATCCTGCTGTGTATGCATGCGTTTTTACATTCTAACCACATTTTATATTGTCAGTTCTAACTTTGCTTTTTGATTAGTAAACTGCATGTTACAGATTCCCTTTGTGTGAGCATTCAGCTGATTACCCATCCTGTACATTAGCATACTGTGTATTGAACCTTACTGTATCGATTGTATGAACCTTATTATGTTATGTTTATTACAGTATGTCTTTCTTGCTAGTTCTCCTTGGAAAAGCAGAAGTATATTAAAGATACTCAAGAAAGCCTCAGACTTCTCAGGAAAACTGGTAGAGAATGCATTGAGAGACGCAGAAAGGCAATTGAAGATGGAGAAGACATTCCGGTGGATATACTCACACAGATCCTGAAAGGAACAGGTAAGCCAAACGAGCTCTAATATATCACAATTATTATACAAAAGGGAAAAAGATCCGTTTTACACAAAGAGGTCCCCCTGCACGTTCTTTACTGTAGTCAGGGGTTATGATGTAAAACATTTAGGGGCCAGACCTAGGAAAAAGGTCAACTTTTGCATCAGGGCCCACAAGCTTCAAGCTAAGCCTCTGGAAAAAAGTAAGGCAGATATTCCAATCTTAGAAAAAGTCCTTGTGAAAGAGGTTTTGGAAGAGGTCCCCCTTCTCATTCTTTACAGTTGTCAGGGGTTATGATGTAAAACATTTAGGGGCCAGACATGAGAGAAAGGTAAGGTAGATTCTCCCATCTTAGAAGAGGTCCTCCTGGAAGAGGTTTTGGAAGAGGTCCCCCAACCCGTTCTTTACTGTTATCAGGGGTTATGATGTAAAATGTTTAGAGGCCAGAAATAGGAAAAAGGTAAGACCGATTCCCTGATTATGGAAGAGGTCCACCTGCTCTTTCTTTACTGTTGACAGGGGTTATGATGCAAAACAATTAGGAGCCATACCTAGGAAAAAAGTCTTGGAATAGGTTTTTTGAAGAGGTCCCCTTCTTGTTCTTGTTTTTTATTTTTTTGATTATGATGCAAAAGTCTGAGGGGGTAATACCTAGGATGTGCTAATTGCACATCTGTGGATAAGAATTTCCTTCTTTTTTTTTTTACTTTTTTTTCAAGAAAGGCTAATTTGCTTTTCACTTTCTTCACAGCTCAGGAGGATGAATGTGATATGGAAGATTTGATAGATAACTTTGTTACTTTCTTCATCGCAGGTTTGTAATCTAATCCATTAATGTAAAATTATTTTAATGAACAGGTAGAACTGCATGTAGAATAAGCAAGATGCAAGAAAATCAGGCCTGGGGCACAACATTTTAAGAGTTAGCAACTTTTTTAGATGTTCCAAAAAAGTATATATATTGAGGCAAAAAGGAAAGTTTCAAAATAAACCAGAAAATTATTAATATACAACTGATACAATATAAAAACAGAAAAATCAGTACAAGCGACATATCTTACGGTCAGTACGATGTGTCCCTTGTGCTTATTCCTCTTCTGTTAGGGAAAATCTTGCTTAGTCCTATTTTAGTATAGTGGAAAATTTGTTATGCTTTTCCTAGGATTACTTTACAATTGCACTTTGCACTGTCCTGTTAAAAGAAAATGATACTAAAGAAGTATGAAGGCTTCCATCTTTGACCTCTCGTGAAAATACTACACCCTGTTCCAAATTATTATGCAAATTCTATTTAAGTGTCACAAAGATTAAATATTTTGTTTTTCAGTTTAACTCACGGATGGCATTGTGTGTCAGGGCTCTTTTGATCACTGAAAACAATCTCAGATACCTGTGATAATTAGATTGGCAGGTGAGCCCAATTTAAGGAAAAACTACTAAAGGAGGGTGTTCCACATTATTAAGCAGAGCACCATTTTCAAGCAATATGGGGAAGAAAAAGGATCTCTGCTGCTGAAAAGAGTGAAATAGTTCGATTCCTTGGACGAGGTATGAAAACATTCGATATTTCGCGAAAACTTAAGCGTGATCATCGCACTATGAAGAGATTTGTGGCTGATTCAGAGCACAGACGGGTTGGTGCAGATAAAGGCACACTGAGGAAGATTTCTGCCAGATCTATGCATCGGATCAAGAGAGCAGCTGCTAAAATCCCATTACATAGCAGCAAACAGATATTTGAAGCTGCTGGTGCCTCTGGAGTCCCACAGACATCAAGGTGTAGAGTCCTCCAGAGTCTTGCAACTGTGCATAAACCTTCCATTCGGCCACCACTAACCAATGTTCACAAGCAGAAACGGCTGCATTGGGCAGAAAAATACATGAAGACTAATTTTCAAACAGTCCTGTTCACTGATGAGTGCCGTGCAACCCTGGATGGTCCAGATGGATGGAGTAGTGGATGGTTGGTGGACGGCCACCCTGTTCCAACAAGGCTGCGACGTCAGCAAGGCGGAGGGGGAGTCATGTTTTGGGCTGGAATCATGGGAACAGAGCTGGTCGGCCCCTTTAGGGTCCCCGAAGGTGTAAAGATGACCTCTGCAAAGTATGTGGAGTTTATGACTGACCACTTTCTTCCCTGGTACAGAAGGAAGAACTATGCTTTCCGTAATAAAATCATCTTCATGCATGACAATGCACCATCTCATGCTGCAAAGAATACCTCTGCATCAATGGCTGCTATGGGGATAAAATGAGAGAAAGTCATGGTGTGGCCTCCATCCTCCCCTGACCTCAATCCTATTGAAAACCTTTGGATCATCCTCAAGCAAAAGATCTATGAGGGTGGGAGGCAGTTTACATCCAAACAGCAGCTCTGGGAGGCTATTCTAACATCTTGCAAACAAATTCAAGCAGAAACTGTCCAAAAACTCACAAGTTCAATGGATGCAAGACTGGTGAAGCTTCTATCAAATTAGGGGTCCTATATTACAATGTAACGTGACCTGTTAAAGTGTTTAAAAAAGTTAAAATGTTGTTTGATTGAAATAGCTTTTGATTTTAGTAAATATGCTGCAAACACAACAAATGACAATTTTCAGTTCTTTACAACCTATAAAATGTTTTGAAACTTACTGTGCATAATAATTTGGAACAGTGCATTGGAAGTGTTTTATGTTTAAAAAAAAAATCCTGTTATCATTAGGAGGTTTGTTCAATAAAATTTGAATTGTACTCTTAATAGTTGATAACATGAGAATTCTGCTGACTGTTATTTACACCAATTATTTGGGTATATGAGAAAAATATCATTTGCATAATAATTTGGAACACGGTGTGGTTGCCTAGCAGTCATGTAGATCCAGTATCAGAAGTATTTTCTGACCTACTGACCTGGTGCAGATCAGGAGATCTGACTTAATAAGACACTTATCAGGCCTATGCAGACCATAGTGACAATGCGTCTTGATTGCAACCCTCCCCTCCACCCCCAATCCCAGCAAGATATATTCACCCCCAGAGCATCACCAACTTTGTCATTTGGGGGATTAGTGATGTTATCTACCAGCTACATTTTGACACCGTATGACAACGGAGCATACCCAGGATTGATTCCTAGAGCAGGGAGGATCTGTCATTCTGCCCCAAATGGGTAGGTGGGCAAGTTTTACAAACACTGGAGCAATGCAAATCATGGTAAATGTGTAGCAATATCCTATAACAACCAATTTGATTTTATCTTTCACCTTGATTAAGGTTTTTGGATTGGCTGGCTGTCATTAGCAAGCTTCAGTTTTGCCACTGTTTCTAGTTCTCTGGTTTTTGTAAATTAACCATACAGATTGCTAGGTCTTGTACATGCTTGTAAACACTCTCTTTAAACTGATCTGTGTTCTTTTCAGGGCAAGAAACAACTGCCAACCAGTTATCATTTACAGTGATAGAACTGGCACAAAACCCGGACATTCTGAAAAAGTGAGACACATAATAAGATATAAATTAAGATGCCACTTTACTGACGTATCATCCTTTTAAGAAATCAAATCATTCCTTGGGAAAAGGAAATAATACATATATGTTTATTCCTGGTTGAATTGGATCAAACATTACACTGTATATTTACTACTGAACAAACAAAAATATTTACTTAGGTATTGTAGCATGCAAAAATCCTTGAAAACATCATAAAATTGATATAGACAAGTTGCCAGTGCAAAACACATAGTACATTGGTTACATATTATACATATTAAATACCAAACTTGGTTTACCTTTCAGGGCCCAGGATGAAGTGGATGAAGTTATTGGTTCCAAAAGAGACCTTGATTATGATGATCTTGGAAAACTGCAATACTTATCTCAGGTAGCTACAAAAGCAGTCCAGTTTACAGGTTGCTCTATATTTAAAAGACCCATTTTCAAGGACATGATCACCAAAGCAAACTATATATATATATTCATAGTCGTGGCCACAAATTTCACCTTTGCATTTCTATCAGATAATGCACTAAAAAACTGTTGCAATTACAAATATTTAGCATTCTCATGTTTATTTCTTTTGGTATTGATATGACACAAACGAAAAGCCAAATCTAAGACGGCCGGGACAAAATTATTGGCATTTTTTTCGACCTTTCTTTTCTCAACTCCGGCCCAATGGGCAAACTACGGCCCGGCGGACCTTTTAATATCCGGCCCCGCGGAGCGTGATAAAAAAAAAAAACAGCCAGGGCAGGCAAACATTGGCTGTCAGGATGTGTATAGGCGGGGCAGCGTGACGAATGTGAGGGGAGCTAGGCTCCTCTCACAGTCCGCCCTGAAGACCGGAACGGCGCGGGAACACGGCGAGAGGAACGCACGGAGCAAAGGTAAGTAAATTGACACAGGGGGGACTTGGCTTACTACTTGGGGGGGAATAGTACTATGGGGTATGAAATACTATATGAGGGATGAATTACTATATGGGGGATGAATTACTATATGGGGATGAATTACTATATGGGGGATGAATTACTATATGGGGGATGAATTACTATATGGGGGATGAAATACTATATGAGGGATGAGTTACTATGGGGGATGAATTACTATAGGGGAATGAATTACTATATGGTGGGATGAATTACTATAGGGGGGATGAATTACTACATGGGGGATGAATTACTATGGGGGATGAATTACTATGGGGGATGAATTACTATGGGGGATGAATTACTATATGGGGGATGAATTACTATATGGGGGATGAATTAATATGGGGGATTAATTACTATGGGGATGAATTACTATGGGGGATGAATTACTGTAGGGGGGATGAAATTAATCTAAACATTTAATGTTACAAATTTTAATTTAATTTATATTAATTCACACATACACATCATTCATCTACTCTTGGTCCGGCCCCCGGGTCCAATATATGAACCCATTGCGGCCCTCAAGTCAAAAAGTTTGCCCACCACTGGGCTAGGGTCTGTGCCACTACTGGTAGCATGAGGCAGTCCATCTCCTTCAGGATGGCACATCAATAGGTGCCATTGCCAGAAGGTTTGCTGCGTCTCCCAGCACAGTCTCAAGAGCATGGAGGAGATTCCAGGAGACAGGCAGTTGCACTAGGAAAGCTGGATAGGGCAATAGAAGGTCCTTAACCCATCAGCAGCACTGGAATCCACTCCTTTGTGCAAGGAGGAACAGGATGAGCACTGCCAGAGCCCTACAATATGACCTCCAGCAAACCACTGGTGTGAATGTCTCTGACCAAACAATCAGAAACAGACTTCATGAGGGTGGCCCTGTGCTCATTGCCTGGCACCATAGAGCTTGATTGCAATTTGCCATTGAACACAAGAATTGGCAGATCCACCAGTGGCGCCCTGTGCTTTTCACATATGAGAGCAGGTTCACCCTGAGCACATGTGACAGACGTGAAAGGGTCTGGAGAAGCCGTAGGGAATGTTATGGTGCCTGTAACATCGTTCAGCATGACCATTTTTGGTGTTGGGTCAGTGAAGGCATATCCATGGAGGGACGCAAAGACCTCTACAGGCTAGACCAGGGGTGGGCAAACTTTTTGACTTGAGGGCCGCAATGGGTTCATATATTGGACCCGGGGGCTGGACCAAGAGTAGATGAATGATGTGTATGTGTCATCCATAGTAAGTATAGTAATATTCCCCCATAGTAAGCATAGTAATTAATCCCCCATATAGTAATTCATCCCCCATAGTAATTCATTCCCCATAGTAATTAATCCCCCATATAGTAATTCATCCCCCATAGTAATTCATCCCCCATAGTAATTCATCCCCCATAGTAATTCATCCCCCATATAGTAATTTATCCCCCATAATAATTCATCCCCCCCATATAGTAATTCATCCCCCATAGTAATTAATCCCCCATATAGTAATTCATCCCCCCTATAGTAATTCATCCCCCATATAGTAATTCATCCCCCCTATAGTAATTAATTCCCCATATTAATTCATCCCCCATATTAAGTCCCCAAGTCCCCCCTGTGTCAATTTACTTACCTTTGCTCCGCGCATTCCTCTTGCCGTGTTCCCGCGCCGTTCTGGTCTTCAGGGCGGACTGTGAGAGGAGCCTAGCTCCCCTCATGTTCGTCACGCTGCCCCGCCTACACACATCCTGACAGCCATCCTGACAGTATCACGCTCCGCGGGCCGGATTAAAAGGTCCGCCGGGCCGTATATGGCCCGCAGGCCGTAGTTTGCCCATTGCTAGGCTAGACAATGGCATCCTGACTGTCATTAGGTATCGGAATGAAATCCTTGAACCCATTGTCAGACCCTACTCTGGTGCAGTGGGTCCTGGGTTCCTCCTGGTGTACGATAATGCCTGGCCTCATGTGGCGAAAGTATGTAGGCAGTTCCTGGAGGATGATGGAATTGATACCGTTGAATGGCCCCCAAGCTCGCCTGACCTAAATCCAATAGAACACCTCTGGGTATCGTGTTTTGGTCCATCTGATGCCACCAGGTTGCACCTCAGATTGTCCATGAGCTCAGTGATGCCCTGGTCCAGATCTGGGAGGAAATACCCCAGGACACCATCCGTTGTCTCATTAGGAGCATGCCCCGATGTTGTCACGCATGCATACAAGCACGTGGGGGCCATACAAACTACTGACTACCATTTTGAGTTGCTGCAATGAAAATTCACCAAAATGGACTAACCTGCTGCATCATTTTTTTTCACTTTGATTCTTGGGGTGTCTTTGAATTCAGTCCTTTGTAGGGTGATAATATTCATTTCCATCAAACGATGGGACATCCTTACGTTCCTAAACACATTACCCAGTCCATATCAGTATAGATATCCAGCAGATTTTTCCCCATTGAGATCTGATGTGTTTTCAAAGTGTTCCTTTAATTGTTTTGAGCAGTGTATATGTGACATCGGGGAAAAGGGCCTCCCTCAGAGGTGCCACATATATTGTGCTGGAAGCGTGCTCCATAGTGCACCCCCAGCATTGAGACCGACCAGTCACCCACAGCTCCAGATCTCGTACTAATGGTGAAGAAAACTGATTCTCAATTAAGCGATCACTATGATAGCCTGTGACTTGCTATCACCATGATCAGCCAGTAAAACCTTCCCCTTTTTCGCCCTCTGAATGAACAAAAAAGATACATTGCATCTTTTTTTTTCCCCAGCCAAAGGAAAAGAATAGTAATAAATCAATATAAGATAAAATTGATCGGGGCTTGATCTGAGCTACTCTCATTGTTGCATAACTGCATTTCGGCAATAAGGGGTTAAAAGCAGAAATTTATGTAATCGCAAAGACTTTTGCTGTCCAATGCATGCTATACATGGGTCAAATTCTGAAAGAATTTTCATTTGAAAATTGTAACTAATAATTTTCGTTTGAATTTTGCACCATAAATGGGCTGCAGCATCAGCTGATTTTCATGCGGCCATTGAATTTGAGTGATCGGGTATGTTGGAAATTTTCTGAAAAATGAACGAATTTCTAATCAATGATGAGAGAATCGTACAAGAAATATAATCGTAAAAGAAATGAGCATGAGCTGTGACCTGGACGGAAAAGGTTCCCAGCCACGAAAATTCTTTTCTGTAGCAACATGAGGTGAAACTAAACAAAATGGTGCCTAATGATATTTAAGGAGCAGAGACCTGGTGAATGTTCTACTACATCCACCAGACGAAGCTACATTTTCCCTGTAGCGCAACGCGTTGGGGAGGGGCAGTGACGTCACCACGTATCGGATCGTACTGGATCATCATTACGGCGAGTACAGACAGAGTGAGCCAGCGCTCCTGTGAGGCTGATCATTACCGCATTCAGCGGTTTATATTACAATACATGCGTGTATATTATCGAAACCATGTGAGTGCAATATGAGAGCACATTAAAGAGCATTTCTATATACCTTGGATAAGGCACCATATCTTTTATTCTTTTCTCCTATGGGTCACATGAGGACACATTGAGCATTGGAGTGAGGAGAGCTTCAAGGAGGGGAAAATCCTTGGGCTTGTATAGGCTCAGAAGACAGTCCGTATATCTCTATTCACATCATCATAAGCAGCTTGAAAGGAGAGTATATTACCAGCACCTTCTACCTGCTGAACTCTTTGAAAAACTTTTTTGCACAATCTTTTTTATGCACTATTTTGTGGCTGAACTTTAATATTTCATATATATATTTTTTTTTCAAAAGAAAATTTTTTTTTTTCATTTGTTTTTATTTATATTTTTTTCATTCATTTTTTGTTTTATGCACCACTTGCACATCTTATTTTATTAATTTATTTAGTTTTAAAGAAATATTCTAAAGTTATTTTCTGCTTTTTCACATGTGCACAGTGAATTCTATGAATTAATTTATTTATTTTTTATTGAGATACCTATATTGTAAAGCCAGCACTATTGGATTTAATCACATTTTTTATTTATTTACTATTGAGATGATATATTTTGATCAACCTTAATAATGTGGTGGATAAGTTAATATTATCGCAATAATAGATCAATTAGCAGCATTTATATATAAATTATCAACACTGTATTATTAGAGCGCGGTCACATATTCATTATTTTCATGAAACTAAAGGCTTGGTTGGTTGAATTTCAAAATCAATAGTGGCGCCAACAGATTACAAAACGCACTGAATTTCTGATTTTCTAAAGAAAATTCGTTCAGAATTCAACCCATGTATGACTTGCCAAAAATTACCATGTCAGAATCATTAGATAAACTTTGGATTCAATATGCATCTTCTCTAGGTCTTGAAGGAAAGTTTACGACTCTACCCTACTGCTCCAGGTACGTCACGTGCCCTAGAAGAAGAAACTATTATAGAGGATGTGAGAATTCCCGCTAAATCAAGCCTGATGGTAAGATCCAAAACCCTCACCAGATCCACTCACCCAAACAATGGTTACACTATACATACAGTAATCACTACCCTTAAAGAGACCCTGTCACCAATTTAAAAATTGCAGGTAAAATCAACAAAATTAAGTATTTTACATGCAGTGATTTTATTTTGCATAAAAAAAGTACTTAATGCAGAATCATAACTGAATTATGACTTCTATAACGTCTCATTCAATGGTACCCTACACCTAAGTTCCCTTCAATGATACGTATAGTCTGGGCCTAAGTCTAATGCCTACTACCTTGGCATCTAGAGTCATAATACCCACTGTGGACTTAGATTGTCTATGTTGTACCTTTTCATATTATACTTCATTAATCCGATTTGCAGTATGCATTCGAATTGTACTCCTTAACCAGTTAAATTTGGTTCTTGCACTTCGGTTTCATCCTAACCATGAAACATGTCCTTGCCTTACACTTGAAATTGTAATGTCTATACTGTATGATAATGTATTCTGTGCTCTTCTTTTAATAAGGAGTTTTCCTGTTAAATAATAAATAAGAACTCCAGATTAATAAAAAAAAAAAGGATTCACTTGCATTGTGTCCTTGAACATGCTAGAAAATTAGACTGATTCCCTAGCACAGCACCCTTCCTTTGCGTATGTTAAAGACCTCTCTTTTTCTGGGAATGTCTATTGTCTGTGCTGGTCCAGCAACTTTTCCCCTCCTCCCCTTCCTACATAACTTTTTATGCAATTGCTGGGGGAGGAGCAAAGGAAATGTATAGTCACTTGAGTCTGCTGCGGCTTCTAACATTACATTCAAGATGGCAACACCCGACAGCAGTCTCAGGGTTTTTGACATTTACACAAGAGAGGCTTTTATAGGTAAATATTAGGCCTAAATATGTTAAATAAACATATAATCTTATGCAAATATATTTTTTTAAATTAATAGTCTGGAGTCTCTTTAAACAAATCAGCATTATTTTCTTTGTTAATTGTTATATTATGGTTGGTTTTAAGATGTAGGTGCAGGTTAAAGCAGAACTAAATGCAAAAATATTTACCTTAGTTCCAACGGTCCAATGACCACAAGATCCATTGCTGCTGGTGCCAGCATTTTGTCCTTGGGTTTTTCTGGGTGCTGGTCTTTGGGCATCTTGATTGCCTGGCATTGGATGAATTCTCTCCTGCACATGCGCAGGAGTGAAGTCATCCAAACACACAGGCAGTGTGCCAGAATGTAACCTGAGCTGTGCATGCGCAGCTCAGTGTACATTCTACGTCGGATTATGAACAAGCAGCTAGGTGTATTTTCTGAATGGCACCCTCAATCATCTCAGCCCACAGCTTGATTGGTTGCAGATCAATTGGTTAAAACGACTAAAAGGTTTCCCTGCAGCCACATTTTTTTAATAAAGGTGCATGCACCTTTTTTCCTGCAGAAAACGTGGGCACAGCAGCCCATTCCAATGAATGGGCTGCCATGTCCGAGCACACACAGGCCGGCAATAGTGGTAACCTAGACTTAAAGTTTAGCTGCAGACAAAACTTTTTTTGCTTTAGGGAAAGTGGGAATTGGATAGAATTTCTGTCAGGCTTTTATTTGCTGTCTGTGTCCCCATTGGGAAGAATTGTCCTTACTTTCCGGACAGGAAATGATGAAAAAGTTCTCCAGTGGGGGCACAGACTGGAACCAATTTTCCTTAAAACTAGAAAACTAGGAAGGCTTCTAGTAGTTTTTTTAATAGTGTAGAGAAGAGTCACTGACACATTTACTGTGTATTGCATAGTATACATCTTTTAGCTTGCAATATCCTGTACCGCAGCTTAGTGAGTGATGTTCATTGAGTTTTACAATGCTTTAGAATCAATCCACCATACAAAAATGTGCAATGTACTAAATAAGAGTTTGACCGATTTTGTTTTATCAAATAAACCTTTATCTTTTGTTGTTCTTTGCACAGTTTAACTCCTACATCATGGGAAGGATGGAGCAGTTTTACCCAGATCCCCTTGTATTCAACCCAGATCGATTTCACCCTGATGCTCCCAAGTAATTGTTTTTATTTACCTGTGCTAATTGTTATCTCTGATACATTGGAAATGGCTAGTTTACAAAAAAAAAACAACATTGGTCACAGTCTAAACCAGGAGTTTCCAAACTTTCTAAGCAAAGGGTCCGTTGACTGTTCTTCAGTTATTCGGATTTTATCAGGGCCAGCATTGGTACCTCAGCATTGGTGGTGGATAAGTGTGGTCAGTAAGAGGCACCCCTTCATTGTTATCAGTGAGAGGAATAGTGCCCCATCATTGGTATTAGCAGGAGGAATAGTGCCCCATCATTGGTATCAGTGGGAGGAATAGTGCCCCATCATTGGTGTCAGTGGGAGGAATAGTGCCCCATCATTGGTATTAGTGGGAGGAATAGTGCCCCATCATTGGTGTCAGTGGGAGGAATAGTGCTCCATCATTGGTATTAGTGGGAGGAATAGTGCCTCATCATTGGTATTAGTGGGAGGAATAGTGCCCCATCATTGGTGTCAGTGGGAGGAATAGTGCTCCATCATTGGTATCAGTGGGAGGAATAGTGCTCCATCATTGGTATTAGTGGGAGGAATAGTGCTCCATCATTGGTAATAGCGGGAGGAATAGTGCCCCATCATTGGTATCAGTGGGAGGAATAGTGCCCCATCATTGGTATCAGTGGGAGGAATAGTGCCCCATCATTGGTATCAGTGGGAGGAATAGTGCCCCATCATTGGTATCAGTGGGAGGAATAGTACCCCATCATTGGTATCAGTGGGAGGAATAGTGCTCCATCATTGGTATCAGTGAGAGTAATAGTGCCCCTTCATTGGTATCAGTGGGAGGAATAGTGCTCCATCATTGGTATTAGTGGGAGGAATAGTGCCCCTCCATTGGTATTAGTGGGAGAATAGTGCCCCATCATTGGTATTAGTGGGAGGAATAGTGCCCCATCATTGGTATTAGTGGGAGGAATGGTGCCCCATCATTGGTATTAGTGGGAGGAATAGTGTCCCATCATTGGTATCAGTGGGAGGAATAGTGCCCCATCATTGGTATCAGTGGGAGGAATAGAGTCCCATTATTGGTGTCATTGGAAGGAATAGAGCTGCATTGTTGGTGTCAGTGGGAGGAATTAAGCCCCATCCTTGGTGTCAGTGAGGGACTGGTGTTGCATTGTTGGTGTCAATGGAATAGTGCCACGTATCAAATGCTTAAGCACATTGGGCCTTCGAGTAGTACACTTTAATTCTGAAACAATTTCCTGTAGTAATTACATTTTTCTGCTGAAATGTTTGGCACATTAAGTTAATTTTTTTTTCTCCAACAGGCCATATTTTACATATTTCCCATTTTCTCTTGGACCACGTTCTTGTATTGGACAAGTCTTTGCACAGGTATGATTATTTCATTTATTACATAACAATGAGGGAAAGAAAATGCCTGGAGTATAGAGAAATATACACAACTGGAAGAAATGGAGAGGACAAAGGGACAAGTTCTCTTTATACCCTGTCATCCCCTGGCCACTAATACTTACCTTCCCCGACACTCTCCCACTGTCCTTTTGGTTTGTTGGACCCATGGATGTAATCCTTCTGAGAGCTTTGTGCCAGAGCTTACACAGGGTCTTATCTCTCCCACATGGATTTAGCTCTAGTAATTTGATGATCAGGTTTGGGAACCCCATCCTATGAGGAATAGGATAAGGTCATAGGCTTCCTCATAACCATTTTTTCCAAGGCCTCTGACACATGAACAGAGCAGGGAAGGACCAAGAGGAAGGTAAATATGAGAGTTAGTTTGGAGGGGCAAGGGGGTTTGTTATTAAGCAACTCTAGTACTTTTGCCTATTTTTTTTTACCTCAAGTTCTACTTTTTCTAAAAACAGCTCTGATTATTTGGTTATACAGTTAATAATGTTCAGTAAAATTTGAGTAGAGGGTCAGTCAACCTAAACCTGATACTCGGTGTTTGGTAAAGACTGCAGAGTTGAAGTGTAATTGCACTTCACTCAACGGTCCTCTCCAAGACTTATGCAGGCCATAGACGGGTCGAAAATCGGCCGATTTTTCTTTTAAAAAATGAAAAATCGGTCGTTCAAGCAGCCGACGTTACCAGCAACGGTCAAAAAAATCGGCCGATTTTCATCCCGTCTACAGCTGGCAAAAAGTGTCCCTGCAGAGAGCTCCGCTATTTCTTCTGACAGTTCCTTGACATTTATAGCGGTTGCAACAATGTATTTATTTGTATCCATTTCGGATACAGATGTTTTTATTCGGAAACAAATAAATACATTGTTGCAACCGCTATAAATGTCAAAGAACTGTCAGAAGAAATAGCGGAGCTCTCTGCAGGGACACTTTTTGCCGGACTGGAATTCCTCTTCTTCTTCATCCTCTTCTTCTTCATCTTCTTCATCCTCTTCTTCTTATTTCTTCTTCTTCTTCATCCTCTTCTTCTTTTTCATCCTCTTCTTCTTCTTTTTCATCCTCTTCTTCTTCTTCATCCTCTTCCTCTTCTACTTCTTCTTCTTCATCCTCTTCTTCTTCTTCTTCATCCTCTTCTTCTTCTTCATCATCCTCTTCTTCTTCTTCTTCATCCTCTTCTTCATCCTCTTCTTCATCTTCTTCTTCATCCTCTTCTTCATCTTCCTCTTCTTCATCTTCCTCTTCATCCTCTTCTTCTTCTTCTTCATCCTCTCTTCATCTTCTTCTCTCTCTTCATCCTCTTCTTCTTCTTCTTCATCCTCTTCTTCTTCTTCTTCATCCTCTTCTTCTTCTTCTTCTCTTCATCTTCTTCTTCTTCTTCATCCTCTTCTGCTTCTTCATCCTCTTCTGCTTCTTCATCCTCTTCTTCTTCTTCTTCCTCTTCTTCTTCCTCTTCTTCATCCTCTTCTTCTTTTTTCTTCTTTTTGTCTTCGTCTTGCAGGTCACTGCTCATGCGCAGATTTTTTTTATCGGTAAAATATCGGCCAATTTGCCCATCATTGCCGCGAAAATCGGCCGATCGGCAAAATCGGACGATTTTTTTTTCCAACTTCCTACCGAAAAACGGCTGAACATTTAGCCCACTAATGATCCGAAAATCGGGCAATTTTATTTTTGGCCGAAAAATCGGCCGATTTTTCGACCCATCTATGGCCTGCATTAGTCTCACCTGCTCCCAGCTGTGAAGATTTAGATAGCTACTCTGTCCTACTAAGGGTTAGCCGACAGCTAGCTAACAAAACTGACAGAAGCAGTGTTGTGTTTCATTCCAAAACTAAATTTACTTCTGTGAATAGTTCTGTAAAACTGCAATACAACCACATAAACTGAAATTACAATATGCTTGTATACATGTCTCTTACAAATAACTTCTTTCTTGCAAACAAATACCTGCAAATCACATTGAATATTTTTTAAAGTGGTTCTAAAGGCTCAAGGTTTTTTTACCTTCATGTATTGTATGTATCTCTTACCTTAGCCCCCTCCGATCCAGCGACATTCTCAACAGCCTCTGCTATCTAGGGACTCTTCCTCCCCATTGGCTCCGCTGCTGTCAATCACAGCCAGTGAGCCAATGAGGAGACAGTGGGGGGCAGGACCGAGCTGCAGCTCTGTGTCTTATGCACGCATAGAGCAGCGGCTCCGGGACGAACAAGCATTGGGGCCCCCAGGGTGAGAGGCTTTCCCTGGAGGCACTGCTCAAGGGGTAGGAGCCAAGAGCCCTGGCGGGGACTTGAAAAGAGGATTGGGGAAGGTAAGGGGAAGTAAAGACATGTTTATTATTAAAAAAAAAAAAACAAGCATTAGTGTCACTTTAAATGTGATCTAGGTATGTATGTGACTTTAATAAACACAATGAAAGAACTTACAGGCATATGTGTATCAAAGGGAGAATGGAGGCCTTCACTTGTGTTCTTCTAGAACAGCGGTCACTAAATGGCGGACCACGGTCCAAGAACAGCCCAAGCAGCGCTCCCGCCAAGACCGCCAGCCCACCAGACTAGAATGACAGATTTGCCTCTCAGCAGGGTGGTCGTCATGGCAACCGATGACATAACGCATGCGCACTGCCCCTTGCAGCTCACTGTCGCTCCCGCTCCTTGCCTGTCCACAAGCGAGCACCCTGCCCCCTTCAGCAAGGATCCCGCAAGCTCCAGCCTCCTACTCCTGTCTGCCCTCAAGGTAGGGTGTGTTTTTTCAGGGGCACTCTGATGGGCACATTTATATTAAGGGGCACTATGATGGGCACTTTTTATGCTAAGGGAAACATATGGGCATGTACTGTGGAAAGGGGTACTTTGAATGTAAGGAGGCACTCTGATGGGAATACCTCATGTAAGGTGGCACTCTGATGGCCAAACCTGATGTGATGAGGATACATGATGTAAAGCTGCACTCTGATGGCGAACACCTAATGTAAGGGGGGCACGCTGATGGGCACACCCTATGTAAGGTGTAAGGTTATATAATGGGGCACTGTAATGGGGACAACTGATGTAAGGGGGCACACTGATGGGTGACACCAAATGTAAGGGGGCCTTCTGATGCAGAAACCTGATGTACGAGGACATTCTGATGGGAATGCCTAATGTAACGGGGCACTCTGATGGGAATGCCTGATATAAGGGGGCACTCTGATGGGAATGTCTGATATAAGGGGGCACTCTGATGGGAATGCCCAATGTAAAGGGGCACTCTGTTGAAAATACCTGATGTATGGGGGCACTCTGATGGAACACATTACTTGAGGCGCTGTGATGGGAATGCCGGATATAGGGGGGTACTCTGACGGTGACAACTGATTTATGGGGGAAGTCTGATGGTGGCACCCAATGTAATAAAATACTCTGGAGGGGGAACATGATGTTAGGGGGAACACTAATGGGGACATTTATTTTTGAACCTCGGCCAGAAGATTTTAGAGACCGAACCTCCTTGAACTTTAATGCATTACCCCTGTTCTAGGAACTGAATGACTGCAGTGGTTTATGGGAAATCTTCCTGTTATTTATTGATAAGGGTTCAATAAAAAAAGAGGTGCAGTTGCAGTGAAAACCCAGTAGATGGCTCTCTACTGAACACAATGATGATATACAATCTACAAAACAATAGCTAAGGGCTCTTTCACACTTGTGGTGGACTGTGGTGCTCTCTGAAGAGCGATCTATAGCATTGGAGCATTATATCACCTACTCCCTGCCTAATTTAACCCTGTAATGCTGCACTACAATTGCATGCATTGTAGGCGGTAATGGCATGGCCCCATTGAACTCAGCTGGTGAGTTTGACAGGTGGTACCATCTGTCAAACTCTGTACCCAATGTTAAAAAGATGTACAGCCCCATTCAGGTGGGCATCCAGGGGGCAGTAAAACAGCAGCTCAGCCTCCCGTTTTTGCTGCCTCCCCAACCACCAGTCTTCAAGAAACCTAACTCTGCAGTCTCCACCAATCATTGAGTATCTGGTTTGTGAACTGAACTTTTAAGTCACTCTACTCAAATTCGTTTTCCTTGTAGAGTATAAATGAGTAGATGCTACCGAATAATTGGGGCTGTTTTTAACTTGAGTTAACAGTAATCGGCAAAGTGACACCCCCTCCACCCAACCCACTGATACCCACCTTCTCCATGTACCTGTATCTCTCTGTTGATCTTTCAGAGACCTCAGGGCATACATCTGTCAGTTTCTTACAAATATTGAGGACTCCATTGTGAACTCCCTGTATTTAAGGTGCTAGGCCTGCACCACTGCTGTCCATGCAGTAGGGGAAAGGGACACTGGACACGGATTTTCACAGGTCATCAAAATGCAAAGTCATTGCTTAAGCAAAATTGGCTTGTATTCGGCAGACGACCTCCCAGGAGAGGGCATATACTTGAGTTGAGAAATCCAAGTGTAATAAGTCAGAGAGCACCAAATGAAAAATCCTTAGGAGTCCAAAGTCTTTATTGTTCAACTGTTTACCACAACCAGGGCAAAGGACATCCAATGCGTTTGGGAGGCCTGATAAAGTATGGCCCCTGAACCATGTTGGTGGCTTTTGTCCTGCTTGTTGTAACTAGTTGAACAATAAACACTTTGGAATCCTAAGAATTTTCCATTTAGTGCCCTCTTTGACCTATTGTGTACCTGTTGCGGCCATAAGGTGGTCCCATTATACCCGCTGGATTTTTTAATCTAATTAAAATTAGAGGAATTGTAACAAAAGGAGATAAAAAATAGAGAAGCAAAGGAATACCTAATACTTCCATTCAGGGGCGGACTGACAACTCATGGGGCCCCCGGGCAATAGGGGATCATGGGGCCCCTGTGTCCTTGCCCAAACTTAAAACAGCCTATGAAAAAGGTGCATCTCATGGGGCCCCCTACTGACCCCGGGCCCTCGGGCAGTGCCTGAGTTTCCAAATGGTCAGTCCGCCCCTGCTTCCATTGGACAGCAACAGGAATCATGGCAGGGAGATCTCCATCTTTGAACGTACAAGCTATGAAAAATCAGGGGCTACATGAATTGTATCTACTATGTCACTGTTGGGTAACCAAAGCTTTAAACTGATTATCTGTGTTTCTACAGTTGGAAGCGAAGGTGGTAATGGCCAAGCTCCTGCAGAGATTCGAGTTTGAGTTGGTGGAAGGACAAAGCTTCAAGATATATGACACAGGCTCCCTACGACCCATGGGAGGGGCAATATGTAGACTGAGGCCCCGAACAAACTCTGGAACCATGAAGAAATAGACTTTTATGTATATTATATGTCATGATTATATCAACTAACTGTCTAAAATAATGAGACTATGCAAACGTCTATGTACTTATTTGTTCACAGCAAATATTGGTATTTTAAACATGCATAGACAGCTATATATTTTTTTATGTAATTTGTTGAAAATCAGAGCACAGAGATATGAGCTTATTATATACTAGTAGCCAAGAGGATATTACCAGGTCAGATTCAGATATTTTTGGTATTATTGGTAGGTTATTTGGCTCCTGTCTAAATTGTCCCTAGTATGTGTATGTATGAATGTGAGTTAGGGACCTTAGATTGTACACCCCTTGAGGGTTAGGGACCTTAGATTGTACGCCCCCTGAGGGTTAGGGACCTTAGATTGTACGCCCCCTGAGGGTTAGGGACCTTAGATTGTACGCCCCTTGAGGGTTAGGGACCTTAGATTGTACCCCCCTTGAGGGTTAGGGACCTTAGATTGTACGCCCCCTGAGGGTAGGGAACTTAGATTGTACGCCCCCTGAGGGTTAGGGACCTTAGATTGTACGCCCCTTGAGGGTTAGGGACCTTAGATTGTACCCCCTTGAGGGTTAGGGACCTTAGATTGTACGCCCCTTGAGGGTTAGGGACCTTAGATTGTACGCCCCTTGAGGGTTAGGGACCTTAGATTGTACGCCCCTTGAGGGTTAGGGACCTTAGATTGTACGCCCCTTGAGGGTTAGGGACTGATGTGAATGTACAATATATATGTAAAGTGCTGCGTAAATTGACGGCGCTATATAAGTACCTGAAATAAATAAATAAATATTTACACTGCTTGTTACAAGGTATTAATTCAAGGGCCACAGTGATGCATTTGTGTAAAAAAACTACCATATGCTGAGATCTTTAGGTATTATTTTTTTAATCCTTCCCTATGCACTTTTAGGCATTGTGCCTTGACAGTTTGTTTTTTTTTCTAATTTTTAATAGATTTTTTTTTTTTTTCTTCAATATATTTTTAATGATGTAATAATGATTAAAAAGCTGCATAAAGCTCTAAGGGCATCAGGTTGACTCCCAACCACAGCACCACCTGCCTGGAGTTTGCGTATTCTCTCTGTGCCTGTGTGGGTTTCCTCCAGGTACTCTGGTTTCCTCCCACACTGCTGGGAGATTAATTGGCTCCTGTCTAAATTGACCCCAGTAAGTGTATGCATGAATGTGCGTTAGAGAACAGAGACCTTAGACTGCAAGCTTCTTGAGGACGGACTAATGTGAATGTACAATATATATGTAAAGCGCTGCATAAATTGACAGTGCTATAAAAGTACCTGTAATAAATAAATGTGTGTCTTATATCAGTCTTCAAGTTCAACTCTGATTGTCCTAAGTAATATATTTGGGGTTCAAATATCTAAAGGGTCGTGCTTTCAGCTACAGCCCAAGTACAAATACTTATTCCCTAGCTACAGATAAATGCAGATGAAAAATAGTCTTTTTAATATCCTAACCAGTCTTAATGGTTTATGTATTGCAACGAGTATCCGTAATCTTCATCACTAATGCCTTTTTGACACTAGGGAGTCTCTACTGCCTCTACTACAGCTTTAGTTTAAAACTAGACTGCCAAAAGGCAGTCTAGTTTTTGGATATAGGCCCCATGTACACCCCTAAACGTTTAGTTCTCCTGGCAGAAAAACGCGAAACACGGCAAAAACGCAGGACAACATTTAGCACTTGGACGCTTATTCATTTGATTTTCCAGAGTATTTCCATTGATATGAATAAATGCCCAAGCGCAAACAATGACTAGCATTTACATGCATTTAGCTTTTTTTGCCAAAACATTTTTCTCTCCTGAACATGATTCATCTGCATTCAGGAGAGGATTGTCTAACTGCCCCTAAAATCTGCTGCTCCTAAACTCTGGTAAAAGCCTGCGTGTACATGGACATGGAGTTGAGTTCAGGGGCTTTGGCAAAAAAACACCAAAAAACTCCTAAACTCACGTTTAGGAGCAGCAGTGTACGTGAGGCTTTTTTATTTTTTTTAGAGACCTGCCTATTAAATAAAAATCTAATGTAAGTGTAACATACAACTGCACCTACCTGCAGCAGCCTCCCGAATCCTCCTCTTCCTGCCAAATCCAGACTGGATCACAGTTAAACTTTAAAAGAGAAGCATGGACAAAATTGTTTTTTATATCATACTTACCTAGGTGGATGCATCATCAGTCCAATGCTACATCTGCCTCTAGGGGTGAGAACTCAGTGATCCCCTGACTGCTAATCGCTGAGTTCTCACCATCTTTGTGAGCAGAGAGCGGTGACTGTCAGTCAACACTCTCTGCTCTGCCTCAGCCCCCCTCATTGGAGCACTGGACTGTGGAAAGGAGGGAGCTGCTGGCTCAGGCCCTCAGAGGCTTGCTGAGAGGCTGAGCCAGATGCCGCTTCAGACTCAGGAGTATGAAATATATGGTCGCAATCCTTCCCCAGCCTGGACCGGCCCTGTGACGGCAGCCAACAGCCACTGTTCGCTAAAAACGGGTCACAGGAGTGCAGAACGAACTGGACTCCTGTGATCCATATAAGAAATAAAGCCAAAAGAGCTTTGGCTGTACTTCTCCTTTTGACTCAACATGTATTTTCAATATGTATGCTGTCATTCCTCACTGTATACAATTTTCTGAAGCAAATCATTTTTGTGAAGCTGTTGCAAAGTTTATCAGAGATCCTGCCAGCAACAGCAGTTCCTGTTACAGAAAGACAGTGTTTTAAACCAGTTGGTTGTAACTAGCCGTAGCATTGTCAGCCTGTTGGGCGCGCTCCTCCACTTACCCATACTGGGCTGCCTATCAGGTGATAAGCAATTTTAAACTTTTTTATTATTATTATTATACAGGATTTATATGGCGCCAACAGTTTGCTCAGTACTTTACAATATAACGGGAGACAATACAGCAACAATATAGTTCAATACAAGAGGGATTTGATGGCCCTGATCCTTAGAGCTTACAATCTAGGAGGGAGGGGCTAGTGGTACAAAAGGTAGTAACTGTGGGGGATGGACTGGTTGGAAGAGTAGAAGATTCCAGTATTAGCTGAGGGCAGGATAGGCTTCCCTGAAGAGAGAGGTTTTCAGAGATCGCCTAAAAGTGAGCAGAGTAGGCGATAGTCTGATAAATTGGGTTAGAGAGTTCCAGATGATGGGGGAAGCTCTGGAGAAGTCCTGGAGACGAGCATGGGAGGAGGAGACAAGGGAGCTAGAAAGTAGGATGTCTTGCGAGGAGCGTAGAGGACGGTTTGGGTGATATTTAGAGACAAGATCGGTGATGAAATTTGGGGCAGAGTTATAAATGGCTTTATATGTTGTTAATGTTTTGAATTTTAGCCGTTGGACAACAGGAAGCCAGTGGAGGGATTGGCAGAGAGGGATGGAGGACACTGAGTGGAGACCAGTGGAGGGATTGGCAGAGAGGGATGGAGGACACTGAGTGGAGGCCGGTGGAGGGATTGGCAGAGAGGGATGGAGGACACTGAGTGGAGACCAGTGGAGGGATTGGCAGAGAGGGATGGAGGACACTGAGTGGAGACCAGTGGAGGGATTGGCAGAGAGGGATGGAGGACACTGAGTGGAGGCCAGTGGAGGGATTGGCAGAGAGGGGTGGAGGACACTGAGTGGAGACCAGTGGAGGGATTGGCAGAGAGGGGTGGAGGACACTGAGTGGAGGCCAGTGGAGGGATTGGCAGAGAGGGGTGGCAGATACAGAACGGTTAGTAAGGTGGATGAGTCTGGCAGCAGCATTCATGATAGACTGAAGAGGGGATAGCCTGTGATGAGGTCGGCCAATGAGGAGGGAGTTACAATAGTCAAGGCGAGACATAACAAGGGAGTGAATAAGTTGCTTAGTGGTTTCCGGGGTTAGGCACGGCCGTATCTTGGAGATGCTGCGGAGGTGAAGTCTACAAGATTTGGACAGTGATTGGATTTGGGGCTGAAAGGACAGATGGGAGTCTAGGATTACACCTAGTACCCTAGGGGCATGAGGGGGCATGAGGGGAGGGACTGATGGTTGTGTTATTGATCGTGATGGAGAAGTCAGGGGAGAGGGCACGGGATGGGGGGAATACTAAGAGCTCAGTTTTGGAAAGATTTAGTTTGAGGAAGTGGAGTGACATCCATGCTGATATGTCACTTAGTAGGTTAGTAATGCGAGAGGAGACTGAAGGGGTGAGGTGAGGAGGAGACTGGAGGGGTGAGGTGAGGGGTAGAAAGATAGATTTGACTTTACCATAAAATAGGCAAACAAAAATACAAAAAGTAACACGCATGTCCTATGAATATCTTTATTGACTGTACAAAAATTCAAATTTTTTTCCTTGTAGACCTGCTAAAGTGATGTAGAAAAACAGACCACATATTGCAAATAAAGGTATATTAATCTTTACCTTTAGATCTATCTAGTCCACACTTGTTATTAAAAGATTTTTTGTGACAACTCACTGTAAAAGACACTACTCCATTGCTTACAGTTTTTTTATGTGATGTGCAGGCAGCTCAAGCAAAGCAGTGCCTCTTCTGGGTTCATTCCCAAGAGTTTAGGTCTCTTCAAATCAGCTGAAACATTTTACTGTTCATGATGTTATCTCTCTCACACCACCAGTTGATCAGTAAGGTGATACTGAGTGCCTTTTATACTTTTGTTTTATAGCTTGGCCATATAGACGCACAGGCCAGATTCAAGGTCACAGATAATGATAATAATTGCATCCCTTGTATGTAATACCTCATGAAATGGCATCATTTGCCTAACATATATTTTACAAAATGGTTATTTTACATTTTGTATTGATGAAGACCATATCATGTTTGTCACATGGTGCGTCTATTCAGTGATCTTCGTAGCCTTGTGCGGAGCCTCAGTCTGCAGAGCACTCCCTCCAGGGGCTGCAGCATTCCAGTACCTGTTACTTTACATGTCTGTCCTTCTACTAGGTGAAAATTAAATTTGTGTACAAGTTTGGCCAGTATCACCTTCATCTGTATCTACAAAAACAAAAGTAGAATTCCAGGAATAAAGTGTATGTCAAGGCAAAAAAGCACATTCAACACATCTATGCAAAACATGTACATTCCCCAATATTTATGCCTTTAAAAATGCTGATCTGCCAAAAAATCCAGTGCGCTCCAAACTTCCTGCATGAGCTGACAACACAGTGCCTCTGTTGCACTAAATTCCCAGCCAGTGTTGTCAGTTCTGCTTACTAGGCTACAGAACTCCACCTATTCCTCACACTTCCTATCCTGCTTCATGTGTATACAATAATTTCTGATGACTTAGCTCCTAAAAGTTTGTGTAGACACTGTGTGCAGGTAAAGGCTCTTGGGAGATGTAGTTGTGGGGGTGTGCCTACTGTATGTCAATGCCCGCCAGCAGCTGTCCCTAGAAGCATTTTACAAGCCTGGTGATCAGGGCTTCTGTTAGAAACCACAGGGCCCCAAACAGCCAACCTAACATGACCCCCCCCCCATGCCCACAAAAAAAAACACAGTTTACTATGCTTCAGTTATGAATGAACGCAGTGAGTGATCGGTACATATCACTCATTGTGTTCATTCAGGAATGGAAGAGGCTGGTAAATTACTGGAACTGATCACCTGTATTTTTCTCTCTGCAGCAGCTGAAAGCGGGGAGAGGAGAAGAACCCAGCTTTCAGCTGCTGCAGAGAGGGCCAAAGGGGATTGGTTCCAGTAATTGCCCCATTCGCCCTTCATAGCCACATCCGATTCACCCAGCTGCCTGGGCCCCCCTGCAGGCCTGGGCCCTGTACAGGAGGACCGATGGTACCCCCTTATCCACAGTCCTGCTAATGATGGTGGCACAGGGAGTAATAAGAGCCATTTGTCTTAACTGAAGCACAGTAAATTAGAATAAAATATGGGGCATGCTTTAGAAGGGTGAAAGAGGTTTGGAGTTGGGAGGCTCAAAAGAATGATCTTTCAACAGACCTCTATGCACCTTCTGTTAACAGCCCATTTCACAGACAGCTTCCTTTATTAGCAATATCCACAGCAGACCTGATTAACATCCCATTTCATAGCCTATTACCTAAATGACAGGAGGTTGTTATGACTCAACTGCGTGTTTTTAATGCCTCCTCAGTCACAAGTCTATACTAGACCATCCACCAACCACTTTCCTGGATGGAATGCTAGAATTAAAATCAAGGCAGAGATCTAAGTATTTATGAAGATCTACACAGCCTTGAAAAAGTATTCATACCCCTTGGAATTTTCCACATTTTGTCATATTACAACCAAAAAAGTAAATGTATTTTATTGGGATTTTATGTGATAGACTAACACAAAGTGGCACATAATTGTGAAGTGGAAGGAAAATGAAAAATGGTTTTCAAATTTTTTTACAAATAAAAATCTGAAAAGTGTGGTGTGCATTTGTATTCAGCCCCCTTTACTCTGATACCCCTAACTAAAATCTAGTGGAACCATTTGCCTTCAGATGTCACCTAATTAGTAAATAGAGTCCACCTGGGTGTAATTTAATCTTAGGATAACTACAGCTGTTCTGTGAAGCCGAAGCAAACCTGTTGGAGTCTGCAAAAGACTTGAGACTGGGGCAGAGGTTCACCTTCCAGCAGGACAACGACCCAAAACATCCACCCAGAGCTACAATGGAATGGTTTAGATCAAAGCATCTTCATGTGTTAGAATGGCCCAGTCAAAGTACAATCCTAAATCCAATTGAGAAGCTGTGGCAAGATTTGAAAATTGCTGTTCACAGACGTTCTCCATCCAATCTGACAGAGCTTGAGCTATTTTGTAAAGAAGAATGGGCAGAAATGTCCCTCTCTAGATGTGCAAAGCTGGAAGAGACATCCCCAAAAACACTTGCAGCTGGAATTGCAGCCAAAGGGGGTCCTACAAAGTATTGACTCCGGGGGGCTGAATACAAATGCACGCCACACTTTTCACAGCTTTATTTGTAAAAAATGTTGAAAACCATTCATCATTTTCCTTCCACTTCAATGTATGGGCACTGCGATGGGCAGTAAAATGGCACCCCAATATGCCAATTTATTTATGGCTGAGCTGGAGGAAAAATTCCTGAACATCATGGAACAAAAACCATACAGATACTATCGCTATATTGATGATATTTTCATCATATGGACAGAAGGTGAAGAAAACCTAAAACAATTTTACTCATTGATCAACACTTTTCATCCATCAAACTAAAAATGGAATACTCAAACACACACGTCAACTTCCTAGACACCACAGAATACATCAGGGATGATACGCTTCACACCTCAATATACAGGAAACCCACTGACAGATGCAACTACCTCCACAGTTCCAGCTTCCACCCCAACACACGAAACGTGCCATCATACACAGTCAGGCCATTAGATACCACCGAATATGTTCTGACCCAAGAGACAGAGATAAACATCTCGGGACACTAGCAGACGCCTTCCAAAAGAAAGGTTACAAGGACAAAACTATCAACACCGGCATAAACACAGCCTTGAGAACCCGAAGGGAAAATCTACTTCAGTACATAGAGAAAAAAACAAACAAACAACCGTGTACCTCTAGTAACCACATACAACCCAGCACTAGAAGGAATAAGAAAAATTATCAAAGATTTACAACCCATCATAACAGAGGATGGAACTCTGAAAGAAATATTCCAGCAACCCCCAATACTGGCCTTCAGACAACCCCCCAACCTCAGAAATAAACTAATCAGTAGGAAAACTTCCTTCTGATTATGAGGTCACAAATAATGGAAGCAAACCATGCAATAAAAAACGCTGCAAACTGTGCAACCAAATCAATCCATCAAAAAGTGTCAGACACTCAAAAGGGATCTTCAATATCTTCGGATCATACAGCTGCACCTCCAGTAATGTTGTGTACCTTATCCAGTGCAGAAAGTGTACCAAAGGATCTTATGTTGGCGAAACAGGACAGAAGTTGCAAACAAGGATGAATTTGCACAGACATACCATCAAGGAACATAAAGAAGATGACCTCTGCACACCTGTGGGACACCATTTCGCACAACCAGACCACACCATGGAAGAACTCAATGTTTTAGTTCTTAAAGGAAATTTCAAATCCATTCAAGAAAGAAAAACTTTTTAACTAAGAATGATAATTCTATTTGACACAAGAGATAACGGCCTTAATTTGGACATGGGATTCCTCAATCATTATCCAACAAATTTATGACTCTCTCTGTGAGTGTTGTTCTCCACCCAGTCTTTGCTTTTGCTTTGCTGTGTCTTATCTCTAGGCTAACCCTAGGCTTGTGCTTCTTTCTGCTTTTTTTTTTTTTCTCATCCCCCACATCTCTAACATTCTGCTAAAACTTTGTAATAATAGTACTGCTTGGACCTTGAAGAAGGGGACATGTCCGAAAGCTCGTCCTCAAAAACTGTATGTTAGTGCAAATAAAAAAAGTATCAGCACTCAATTGTTTCTGTCGCAAGTGCACTAATACGGCTACAATCACCTCCTTCCACTTCACAATTATGTGCCACTTTGTGTTGGTCTATCACATATAATCCCCAAAAAATAAATTTACGTTTTTGGTTGTAACATAACACAATGTGGAAAAGGGGTATAAATACTTTTTCAAGGCACTGTATATGATTAATGCATCCCAGAACAACCAGAAAGCAACTGCAGTACCATCTCCATACAAAAGGTGTATTTCCTTTGATTAAATTGTCCCTTTAAAATCTCCTGAACAGGATCCCAAGCTATAAATACATTTATCTTACCTTAAATTTACACCAAATGCATGAAAGTATCAAGGAAGTGAATCAGTTTATCGTAATTCACAAGAACTCAAAAAAACATAAGTAGGGCAGACCTTCCTTATAGTATGCCATTTACACTATATGACACCTGTATGAAAAGAAACCTATTTTATTTTTTTTACCTCTGCAAACACTTTTCCAATACAGGCCCGAGGTCCCAGAGAAAATGGAAAATATGAGAAGTATGGCCTGTGAGAAAACAAAAAAAAACGACATTTACAGAGATATGTGCAGATCTTCCACTATATGGTGCTGCCAATAGAGGTATAGGGGTTTCCATTGTTGACCTTTTAAGAGTGGTAGCTGGCTGTTCCTGGGCTCAGTTTTTTGAGTCACTGACCTGGGAAAAGCATACACATTTCAATGTCCTCAGAAGAAAGGGGGAAAAAACTACTCACCATAGCAGTCAAGGTTAAATTTATTGAAGCAAATCATGCAAAAACAAGCCCACCAGATGCAACCAACTTTAACGCGTTTCACTCCTAAATGGAGCTTAATTGTAGAGTCTACGAATAAGCTCCAGTTAGGAACAAACCGTGTTAGCATTGGTTGCACCTGGTGGACTTGCCTGTGAATTGATTTGCTTCATTAACCAAACCTTGGCTTTTACAGTGAGCGGCTGTCTCTCCCTTTCTTCTGAGGTCTAAGGTGTTGCGGTTCACAACCGCGGGGAGCCTGCTCCTATTGCCGGGTAGCTGGAAAGGAAAGTCAAGCAAACGGTGGAACATTACTCAATCATAGCTGAAAACAATTCTTACTCTGCTGCATCAGGGTGGAACCGATCAGGGTTGAAGACAAGGGGGTCCAGGTAAAACTGTTCCATCCTTCCCATGACGTATGAGTTGAGCTGCAGTGGGAACAATTCAGTGTTTGTTATAGTGTGACCTCATCTACACTGGAAAAGAAAAACAGCCAAACACCAATAGAATTTCTTTGAATGTTTGTACAAAAAAAAACACAAACACAAAATCAATCAGACCATTTGGTGGTACCATTATGGACTCGACAAACGGTGGATGATTTTTTTTTAATTGCTATGCGAAAATTCTGAAGTCCAACATTTGATTTCAGAAATTAAGTAATAACTGGATTACAGATTATAAATTTACTAGAATAATACAAAACATTTATTTATCTTGCACAGGCATCATCCCGTGAGGAAATACTGCATTAGCTGAATGCATTAAAATGGTCTTCAACCCAAAATGAATGCATTCAATACACTACACCAAAAACTTTATTTGCACTGTTCTTCCATTAACATGGAGTTAATATTTGTGATTAGGAAATCATCGTTTTCCCAGCATATAAGCGTTACAATAATTACAATATTAAGAAACACATTCACATTTACAATTTAATTTATTCAGATGAGTCAACAAAACTTTCTTTCCTTCACCTTCAATTTTCCAACTCATTATGGTCAAAAATAATTGTCAATTTATACCCATTAAAGTATAACTAAAGGCAGCATTTTTTTAAATTTCCAATAGAGTGGAGAATTACAACATCTTTCAGGTCTATATTGCTGTCTGGGCCACACTATCTATGTTTTATGTTTAACATTATCAGCAAGAATGAAAGTGAAAGAAAATCCTAAATTATGGGTTTTACCAAGAACAGTAATGGAGGGGGAAAAATATCTTCTAATGGGGACAACCTGGAATTTTCCTCACTTTGGAGTGATTTCCTCTCACTTCTTGTTTTGACCATGGGATAAGAAGTGAAGGAAAATCTCCCCAATGGGATACAGATGGCAAAAAGAAAAGTCTGACAGGCGTTATAACCCCTTTATTCTATCCAAAATGGAAAAAAAGTTTTGTCTTTAGTTCTACTCTAACTCTTTGAAAATCAAACAAGCTTCCTGAAAACAAAAGTTTTTGAACAAATTTTTACTGGCCAGCTAAAGACAGGTCACCGGTCACTACAGAGGTCCTAACCATATTCTTTACAATTTTTTTTTTTTAATTATCTTGACATACACTCAATAAAAGTTACCAGCACATCCCTCTGAACTGCTCTGAGAGGACTTTTATGGAGCAGTTCCCATTAACCTCCTCCCCATGGTCAAGTTCTGCAGGCCGAGCTTCTCTGCAATCTTTAGAGGCAAGGAGTTTGGCACTATTATAAGCCCATCAGCTACATTTATAGCAACTTCCCACAGTTTATCTTCTAGAGCCAACATTCAGCATTTCTCCAAAAGGTTCCAGATGATCTTTCAGAACTGTATAAACGTACCATCACAGTGACATTTGCAGGAATCTTTACACCATGAAGGATTATTTCTTCATCCACCGCTCTTGATGTTCCCGGTGCCGGTGAGTATAATCTTAAACTCTCCATTAGAACCTATAAAGTGACATATTCTTCAATGGACATTATATGCGGACCAGACCTTACACAACTTGTGTGATTAGAAGTATGTGATGGTATTATTGCACCAACAATTTAGGAGTGATGAAACATTGGAAAATGCGATTACCTATTTACCGGTGTCTATTTTGTTGATAGATGCACTTTTTGGAAATTATTGATTAAGTTAATTCTTGGAAATAGCCTAAAACTTAATGGAAAACTGTTTAGGTGTGTGACGGTGGTACAGGATAAATATCGTAATTTTGCTGGGATAGGGGCACAGGTTTGATTTAAAGTGTTACTAAACACAGGACCCCGCATTCACTATATCTGGTCTTCCCAGACCCTGCATTCACTATATCTGGTCTCCCCAGACCCTGCATTCACTATATCCGGTCTCCCCAGACCCCGCATTCACTATATCCAGTCTCCCCAGACCCCGCATTCACTATATCCGGTCACCGCACCGACCCCGCATTCACTATATCCGGTCTCCCCAGACCCTGCATTCACTATATCCGGTCACCCCGGACCCTGCATTCACTATATCTGCTCTCCCAGGACCCTGCATTCACTATATCTGGTCTCCCGGACCCTGCATTCACTATATCCTGTCTCCCCGGACCCTGCATTCACTATATCCCGTCTCCCCGGACCCTGCATTCACTATATCTGGTCTCCCCAAACCCTGCATTCACTATATCCGCTCTCCCCAGACTCTGCATTCACTATATCTGTTCTCCCGGGACCCTGCATTCACTATATCTGGTCTACCCGGACCCTGCATTCACTATATCTGGTCTCCCAAGACCCTGAATTCACTATATCCGGTCTCCCCGGACCCCGCATTCACTATATCCGCTCTCCCCGGACCCTGCATTCACTATATCCGGTCACCCCAGACCCTGCATTCACTATATCCGGTCTCCCTGGACCCTGCATTCACTATATCTGGTCTCCCACAGTACACACAACATAGAAATGCAATTATTTTAGTAAATATAAAACCGCTAAATACCTTTTCTCATCAGCAGTATATAGCAGTCTTGTGACTTCTAAAGTAAAAAAAAACTTAAGCGCTACTATAATCATATTATATGTATGTAAATCAATAACAGTAGCTGCTAATGCACAAAACCCATGTCTCAATTAGTGGGCAAATGTGAAATCTAGAAATATTATTATATATGTATGCATATATAATAACTGTGTAGCGCAGCACAACAAAAATATCCATTTTGGTGAGATACTCCCAAAAGGGAAAAAACTAATGAGATGAAGACCCTGCAATTTTTCTCATTAGAGCCCTGCAGGTGCAGCAGCTGACTGATAATTATAAATCCACTCCCATGCAGATTCACTGTGCACATGGACACAGAGAAACAAACAGCTATTTTTTCAGCATAACATAGGTAGGACTCAAACAAAATTTGTTAAAATCTTCGCAATGAACATATATCACCCAGAAGGGAATGTTTTTTCCTCAGCAAAAGTGTAGTTACTCTTTAATGTAATAAAATATTATTGCATACACTATACCTGTGATAAATATTGCAATTTTTTAAGATCTTCAAATTCAAGATCTATTTTTGAACCAATAACTTCATCTGCTTCATCCTGGGCCCTGCAATTAAAAAAAAAAAAAAAACATTACACCATGTCTTAAAAGCTTTTCTTATATTAAATAATCAGTACGGATATTCATGTTATATGCCATGTATTGGGACAAAAGAAGGAGGCTGTTCTTCCAATGACCACCAATTTAAGTACTGTATGCCCTTCTTAGAATGAGTTCCAATGCAAGGAGGCCCTTTTCAGAATGAGCACCGATGCAAGGAGGTCCTTTTCAGAATGAGCACCGATGCAAGGAGGTCCTTTTCAGAATGAGCACCGATGCAAGGAGGTCCTTTTCAGAATGAGCACCGATGCAAGGAGGTCCTTTTCAGAATGAGCACCGATGCAAGGAGGTCCTTTTCAGAATGAGCACCGATGCAAGGAGGTCCTTTTCAGAATGAGGTCCAATGCAAGGAGGCCCTTTTCAGAATGAGCACCAATGCAAGGAGGCCCTTTTCAAAATCAGCACGAATGCAAGGAGGCCCTTTTCAGAATGAGCACCGATGCAAGAAGGCCCTTTTCAGAATGAGCACCAATGCAAGGAGGCCCTTTTCAGAACGAGCACCAATGCAAGGAGGCCCTTTTCAGAACGAGCACCAATGCAAGGAGGCCCTTTTCAGAATGAGCACCAATGCAAGGAGGCCCTTTTCAGAATGAGCACCAATGCAAGGAGCCCCTTTTCAGAACGAGCACCAATGCAAGGAGCCCCTTTTCAGAACGAGCACCAATGCAAGGAGGCCCTTTTCAGAACGAGCACCAATGCAAGGAGGCCCTTTTCAGAACGAGCACCAATGCAAGGAGACCCTTTTCAGAATGAGCACCAATGCAAGGAGGCCCTTTTCAGAATGAGCACCAATGCAAGGAGCCCCTTTTCAGAACGAGCACCAATGCAAGGAGCCCCTTTTCAGAACGAGCACCAATGCAAGGAGCTTCTTTTCAGAACGAGCACCAATGCAAGGAGCCTCTTTTCAGAACGAGCACCAATGCAAGGAGCCCCTTTTCAGAACGAGCACCAATGCAAGGAGCCCCTTTTCAGAATGAGCACCAATGCAAGGAGGCCCTTTTCAGAATGAGCACCAATGCAAGGAGGCCCTTTTCAGAATGAGCACCAATGCAAGGAGGCCCTTTTCAGAATGAGCACCAATACAAGGAGGTCCTTTTCAGAACGAGCACCAATGCAAGGAGGCCCTTTTCAGAATGAGCACCAATACAAGGAGGTCCTTTTCAGAACGAGCACCAATGCAAGGAGGCCCTTTTCAGAATGACCACCAATGTAAGAAGGCCCTTCTCCCAATACCCACCAATGTAAGGAGGCCCTTTTCTAATGACCAAAAATGTGAGGAGGCTCTTCTCCCACCAATGTGAGGGGCCCTTCTCTCACTGACCACTAATTTAGGGGAGCTCTTCACTGACCAGGGGAAACACTACAATTTTCAATGTCTGCATTTCTTTTCTGGTTATTATATTTTTTGTTTTATTTTAATTTGTTATTTAGAGCTCTGAGTGTCAAATACTTTATACCACATACCTTATTATTTTCTGTATTCTTATATCTCAACTTACTGTTCTTTCCAAGGTATCCTGAACTGTAGCTATAGTAAATATTAGATGAGGCTCTTTGAGAACTGAAAGCTATTTTAAGGGTTGCTCCATGTTCAGTTGAGAAATGTTAGTCCACAGTGTCACTTCAACCATACTGAGAAAATGTCAAAATAGCTCTCACACTCACTTTTTCAGGATTTCAGGCTTTTGGGCTAGTTCCATCACCACAAAGGAGAGCAGATTGGCAGTTGTTTCTTGTCCTATAACAGAAGTGTTTTTTTTTTTTTTTTGTTTGTACACCACTTACATATCCCTTTACACTAGATCTCAAGTGGCAAATAAACGTAATTGAGTACCTCCAATAATTAGGGTGACAAAGTTATCCACTAAACTTTCCAAATCCTGGTCATTTTCCAAGTCTGCAATGAAAAGATTCATGACAAACGTTATATGCCATTTTGCAATCAGGTGGCAAGTGAATACGTTTTTTCTATAAAGGCTACATGTTACAGAGGTGCTTTGACATATCCATGCATCTTCCACATATATTTGCAAATTAAGACCCCCAAGAACCAGTGCATCTGTGACATTCGTGTTTGGGTTTGCAGACCATGCTGGTGTCAAAGTCAGGGGTCAGGCTCAGAGGCTAGTAGCTATAGTGAAGTGAAGTTTCACACAGAAACCAGCAGGATAATGTACAATCAGTTCCCCCTAACGGGTGACACAGGGTCTAAGCATTATCTGGTCTTTACCAGAGCTCAGGATGATAGAGATGGGTTTTGCTGCATGATAGTACCAGGTTGCGGTCCTCAGGATCATACCACCAGATGGTGAGTAAGCCAGGGTTCAGTAGCAAATGAAGCAGGCAGGGATCAAGCAGAATGAGTCAGTAAACAAGACAAAGGTCAGTAACATATGGTTGCAGGTTGGATCAAGCTGAAGTTGGTAATGAGTGGTAATGAAGATACGTAGGCAGCAGGAGTGTAAAAAACAATTTGTTGGCTGGTGAACAGCACAATAATTTGGCTTAAACAAGAAGTTCATGGGAGGAGCAAGGAATTCAAGGATCACCAAAAACAAGACAGAAAGTAGGGTTGTCCAGTAGATCAGGTGGAGAGCTATGCACCATCTTAGGTGGCACACTAAGAAGAGCTACTGCCAGGTACAACAGAGGTCCTGGGTTCAGGTCCTGACAGCTGGGTTTTATTAATAGGAAAGTCCATCACCTTTGTAACAGAACCGGACCCTGCACTTGGGTACTTCTGTTAAAATACTGATTCCCCGTCTGAACACCAGCCACAGCAAAACAAACAAGACTAGACAACACCAGTCTTGAAGGAAACCAGGAAATAGACTATTTTATTTTAACACAGATACAAGATATATACATTCAAGGGAACAACCCCCCTCCCTGCATAATGACACAGGGCAGGGCAGTCTACCTTTAGTAACAAGAGACACACCAGAAGACAGTCCCATCAGGAGGGAGGGCTGCTGGAGACAGCCCCCACCAAGCCAATACACATAAACACATACATCCCATAATAGTTTGCTCCCAAGCAAGACACAGTAGAACAATGGGATGCATCCACATGGCATTAAACAATCAACAAACCCCCACCCCAATATTAGGACAGAGCACCCTGTATCGCTAACAGGCACAGGGTGACTTACACATAATAGGGATATGGGGAGCTGAGACAGGGGTCTCTCCACCTCTCCAAAGTGAGCTGGGTTCCATGGGACCCCCACCCAAAGTGACTCCCGTTACAACCTTACCATCTGGTGAATGACTGTGAACCTAATAGTTCAACATAGTTCCTTAGTTTCAAACAATTTTGTGATTTTAGGGTTTTAAATGTTGTCTTTGCCATCTTTACAGAGATTTACCCTCACATCTTTTGCTGTTTGGCACCAGTCACCTGGACAGTAGGGGAAGGAAAATCCCACTGATGGGGACATAGACAGCAAAATAAATAAATAAATAAATAAGCACATCACAGCACACCAATTTATACACATACACACACTCACCGTCCATTTTATTAGGTACACTCAGCTCAATGCATTTAGGCATTTACATGTGGAGTGGGGGATAAAGGCTCTCCTAGATTGTAAGCTCCAAGGAGCAGGGCCCTCAAATCCCTCTTGTATCAAACTGTATTGTCTCCCACTATAATGTAAAGCGCTGAGCAGGGGCGGACTGACAACACATGGGGCCCCCGGGCAATAGGGGATCATGGGGCCCCTGTGTCCTTGCCCAAACTCAAAAAAGCCTATGAAAAAGGTACCAGGGGCATCTCATAGGGCCCCCTACTGACCCCGGGCCCTCGGGCAGTGCCCAAGTTTCCAAATGGTCAGTCCGCCCCTGGCGCTGAGCAAACCGTTGGCGCTATATAAATCCTGTATAATAATAATAAAGTGGTGAAGATGGCTTGCTGAAGTTCAAACTGAGCACCAAATGGGGGAGAAAGGGGATTTACATGACTTGCAATGTGGCATGGTTGTTGGTGCCAGACAGGCTGGTCTGAGTATTTCAAAACTGCTGATTTACTGGGATTTTCACACACAACCATCTCTAGGGTTTACAGTAAATGATCAGAAAAACAGAAAATATCCAGTGAGCGGCAGTTGTGTGGACAAAAATGCCTTGTTTATGTCAGAGGAGAATGGGCAGACTGGTTCGAGATGATAGAAAGGCAACAGTAACTCATGGCAATATGGACCAAAATCTCTGAGGAATGTTTCCAACACCTTGTTTAATCTATTCCATGAAGAATTAGGGAAGTTCTGAAGACAAAGGAGGTCAAAACCAGTACTAGCAAGGTGTACCTAATATAGTGGTCGGTGAGTATATATTATATTTATGTTCTCGGTGTCTCTAATAGGAATATTTCTTTATACTTCCTGTTCTGTCTGACAACCATCAGGCAAATAGGAAGAGAGGGGAAATAACCCCGATGCAGACATGGAAAACAATACAAACCCACCAAATATTCCAGTTCTTCAAAATCTACCCCAAAACTAAGGCACTGGCTGGAGCTAGGCAGTAATTATGTTTTTCTTGGTTGGGGGCTTGCTAACCTCTGTATATTGGACAATTTCTAGTAATCAATAGAAAACATTGATATTATTTATTTTAGATTTTCAAGTATGACATTTTGTTTTTGGTAAGCCCTTTTGAGCAATGAACAATCCACATCAAATGTAGGCAGGCTAGAACACTAAACGGCCATGCTAGTCAATACAGGCTATATGATCTGAACCTACCCACCCCAAAATAATACACATTACAAATAAAGGTAACCCTAAAAGGACTGCAAGGCCCAGAATTTCCTGTGTCTGTACCTGCTGTGTGGAGCATTTGTGCCAGTACATCCACAAACGTCATCTGCTGTTTTTGTGCCTTCATTCTGTTTTTAATACACTCTCTGCCCGTGTCCCGCAGCAGCTTGGCACTTCTTCGGATCTCCATAATAAGTGTCTGCTTCCATGGAAGAAACTTAAAAAAAGCAAATTAAAAATAAAAAAGAACAATATTTGCAAATATATTTACATAAAGCTGAATTTCAGACAGATATACAGGGTACAAATTATTTCAATTCTAATTATTAATGCTTCATTTAATAATGCATTAAATGCAGCCTATTATACTGGACATGAAAGCAATCAGGTGTACTGCCATGCGAGGAGCATGATGGTAGGGGAAGCGCGCAAAGTGCCAAAAAAACAAGCTCATCGGTGTGCTGCTTCTCGTTTCACTGTCCATTCACAGGGTTGGAGTCTAGAAGAGATCTGTAAAATTAAATTGTCTGGGAGAAATCAGGTTCCCTCCCCTGCTAGATGAGGCTGTGCTGTGTGGTAGAGCTGTGTAAATCCCAGGACTGAACTGACAAAGCCTTTGGCAGGGAAAGCATATATATGTTCCATGTGTGTATTTAGTGGTTTATCTAAAGTCCAACTGTAAGCACAAAATATACAGGAAGTTTCTCTTTAGTCCTCGTTCTCCTAATTCCAAGTATCTCCATCCATTAACATTGTTAAATAGTTAGTCTGGCTGAAAATAGACAAAAGTCTATCCGGTTCGACCATAAAAAAAAAAGAGAAAAAAAAAAGTTATAATCCTACACCACAGTTGATCCAGAGGAAAGCAAAAAAAAACAGCAAAGCACGATCCAATTTGCTCCTGAAGGGAAAAAAAAACCTTTCTGATCCCCGAGAGCCAGTCGGATATTCTCTGGATCAACTTTACCTATTATTATTATACAGTATTTTATATAGCGCTAAAAGGTTTGCTCAGCACTGTACATTATAGTGGGGGACAGAACATGAGACAATACAGTACCAAAACACGAGGGGTTCAAGGGCCCTGCTCTTTCGAGCTTACAATCTAGGAGATTACCTACCTGTAAATAGTAACCAGTTATATTCTGTGTATCCAAGAAAGAATCCAGGACTTTTTTAAAACAATCCACTGAGCTGGCCAGAACCAACTCTTGAGGGAGTCTATTCCACATTTTCACAGCTCTCACCGTGAAGAAACCTTTCTGTGTTTGGAGATTAAATTTCTTTTCCTCCAGATATAAAGAGTGCCCCCTTGTCTCTGTTATGACCTCTGGGTGAATAACTCTACACAGAGTTCACTATATGAACCACTGATGTATTAATACATGGAGATCATATCCCCCCTTATGTATTATACATTGGAGATCATATCCCCCTTATGTATTATACATGGAGATCATATCCCCCCCTTATGTATTATACATGGAGATCATATCCCCCCTTATGTATTATACATGGAGATCATATCCCCCCTTATGTATTTATACACGGAGATCATATCCCCCCTTATGTATTATACATGGAGATCATATCCCCCCTTATGTATTATACAGGAGATCATATCCCCCCTTATGTATTATACATGGAGATCATATCCCCCCTTATGTATTATACATGGAGATCATATCCCCCCTTATGTATTATACATGGAGATCATATCCCCTTATGTATTATACATGGAGATCATATCCCCCCTTATGTATTATACATGGAGATCATATCCCCCCTTATGTATTATACATGGAGATCATATCCCCCCTTATGTATTATACATGGAGATCATATCCCCCCCTTATGTATTATACATGGAGATCATATCCCCCCCTTATGTATTATACATGGAGATCATATCCCCCCCCCCCTTATGTATTATACATGGAGATCATATCCCCCCTTATGTATTATACATGGAGATCATATCCCCCCCTTATGTATTATACATGGAGATCATATCCCCCTTATGTATTATACATGGAGATCATATCCCCCTTATGTATTATACATGGAGATCATATCCCCCCTTATGTATTATACATGGTGATCATATCCCCTTATGTATTATACATGGTGATCATATCCCCCCTTATGTATTATACATGGAGATCATATCCCCCCTTATGTATTATACATGGAGATCATATCCCCCCCTTATGTATTTATACATGGATATCATATCCCCCCTTATGTATTATACATGGAGATCATATCCCCCCTTATGTATTATACATAGAGATCATATCCCCCTTATGTATTATACATGGAGATCATATCCCCTTATGTATTATACATGGAGATCATATCCCCCCTTATGTATTATACATGGAGATCATATCCCCCCCTTATGTATTATACATGGTGATCATATCCCCCCTTATGTATTATACATGGAGATCATATCCCCCCTTATGTATTATAACATGGAGATCATATCCCCCCCATTCCCCCCTTATGTATTATAACATGGAGATCATATCCCCCCTTATGTATTATACATGGTGATCATATCCCCCCTTATGTATTATACATGGAGATCATATCCCCCCCTTATGTATTATACATGGAGATCATATCCCCCCTTATGTATATACATGGAGATCATATCCCCCTTATGTATTATACATGGAGATCATATCCCCCCTTATGTATTATAACATGGAGATCATACCCCCCCTTATGTATTATACATGGAGACCATATCCATATCCCCCTTATGTTATACATATACATGGTGATCATATCCCCCCTTATGTATTTTACATGGAGATCATATCCCCCCTTATGTATTATACATGGAGATCATATCCCCCTTATGTATTATACATGGTGATCATATCCCCCCCCCTTATGTATTATACATGGAGATCATATCCCCCCCCTTATGTATTATACATGGAGATCATATCCCCCCTTATGTATTATACATGGAGATCATATCCCCCCCTTATGTATTATACATGGAGATCATATCCCCCCTTATGTATTATACATGGAGATCATATCCCCCCTTATGTATTATACATGGAGATCATATCCCCCTTATGTATTATACATGGGTGATCATATCCCCCCTTATGTATTATACATGGAGATCATATCCCCCTTATGTATACACAGGCTGGTAGATTGAATGCTTCCTCCTGCCTCTGAAAGAAACTTCCAGAGCTTAGGGAAGGAGATTCAAAACAACCATCCCGAATATTTATGAAGTTCCACTTAATTCCTGGAAAGGAGCTTCCAGTAGGGGGCTGGGATGGTGATATATTGTCTGAAACTCCAGAGAACAGAGTTCTCTCTTCCAAGGAGGGTTCCAGAGCTGGAGGGGCTGCTGCCCTCAGGATGGCCACAGACTGAACAGGTGCTCTTGGGAACTCAGCAGTGCCGGAGCTGGACTTGCTTGGAGCTAACTGCAGAATCACACCAAAGGAGAACTAGTCTTGATAGGCGCCATCTCACTCTCTGGACCGTGTCTGGAGGAAGCTGGAAGGTGGCAGATATCCTGGGGACAAAAGACTTGCCCCAATATCATATACTATGGTTGGAGGCCAAACTGATTAGAGGGCTCCCGTTGCGGCTCTGGTCCAAGCACCCCTGAATATGGTGACAGAGGTACAAGGCCCAAAAAGCATGGGTGCCGGTAGCTTAGTAGCAGGTAACTGCCAGGGTCAGAGACGTAGTCAGGATGAGCCAGGGTCATACATGATGGCAAAAGAGGTAAGGTAGCAGGCCAAGGTCAATACCAGAGAATCAGGCAGAGCAGGGTTCAGTAGCAGGCCGAGGTCAGAACCAGGGAATTAGGCAGAGAATAATGAAAGGTAAGCCAAGGTCGGTATCCAAATCCACAGAGCAAGGTCAGGAACTAGTCCAGACAGCAACGGAAGATCAGTCAGCATAAGCAGGAACAGAGGTCACTGGGAAGCTGAAGAACATCCAGCAATTGGCACACACCAGTGTCTCCTTTAAATAGGCAGCTTGAGATATGCCTGCGTGTCAGTGCACGCTCGATATGAGTCCGAGCTCATTTGTGTGCTGATCAGGGGCGGACTGACAACTCATGGGGCCCCGGGCAATAGGGGATCATGGGGCCCCTGTGTCCTTGCCCAAACTCAAAAAAGCCTATGAAAAAAGTACCAGGGGCATCTCATGGGGCCCCCTACTGACCCTGGGCCCTCGGGCAGTGCCCGAGTTTCCAAATGGTCAGTTCGCCCCTGGTGCTGATACATGTGCAGGAGCATTAGCTGCAAAAGAATGAGCATTAGCTGTAGTATTAGCATTGACATTAGCTGTGCTAGTATTAGACCTCTCACACCCATGGTCTTCAGCTGTGGGACCTCAGAGTGTCTAATGCTAGTAACTACTCCTAGGGAAGATTGTCCTTTAATTGACTAATGAGTGTTTTGAAGTATCCCTTTGAAGTTCCCCTCTCCTGTTCTTTAAGCAATAAAACACCAAAACATATCCCCTAGACTGGACAGTTTATTGGAGCCAGTGTGAAAGGGCTGTCGCTTGTGTGGATGGGCAGCCTCTGTGCTTGTTACGGAAGAACCAGTTAATATCAGTGGTCCCTATGGGGGGTAGCGCTACAACAGCTCCAAAAAACGTTTTGACTTTAGATGAAATTATTAAAAAAAAGAGCATAAATATGAAGAATATAATTTTATATAAAAAAAAACACAACAATTTCATTTATTTTACAAACCTTTACTAGCGGGTTCAAGGTCTCAGTCAGACCCTTCATAGCCAGAGAAATGGCCGGGGAAATGGGCTGTATTCATCCTGCAGAGTTTTCAGCTCCAATCCAAAAGCTGCCTGGAATACACACATGCATTTTATTTCTGTGACAAAACATCTTGCGCCAGCCAATAGCAACTGCAGTCTTCTGTGCAACCCGGGTGATTCTCCTTAGCAGCATATAGGTGGTTGAAGCATAACTCCAACCAAATGTTTTTATTATTGTTATTATTTTAATAGAACAGAGAATTATAATATCTTCTGTCAGATTGAGATTGCTCTCCAGGTGTACATTTGGGATATTTTTATTTATTTCCTGTTTTGACCCTGTAACCTGAACAGAAAGTACGGGAAAATCTCCCTAATAGGAAAAAGCATCTTATCCACAGCAAAAATAAACTGGCACACGCCAATGATCTCAGTGTAGCTCTGGTCTGTGGTGCTCCCGCTCGCTTCCATACGGACCAGGCTGTCACTAGTGCTGCAGTCACTTACACACAGCCACCAGTACGGAAACATCTCTTCTATTTTTTTTTTTAGAAGATGGTTAACAGAGGCAAGTCCCCCTATCTCTCCCAGAAAAGATCTATTTTCTATTTTCATGTCATATGTTTTTATCCTTCGCATTTCTTGCTTATAAAATGGCCACATACTGTTAGTAGACTGTTAGTAGACAATGTAAATTCATTGGATTAATGAATACCTTGGCAAGGCCATCCAGTGTGACTCTGCTCAGTATATCACGCATATCAACCTGACACTTCCCATCTGCTTTCTCGACAAGTATGTCCACCAGCTCCTCAGCTTTCTCATTGAAGGGCCCCATTGATCGCATCAGATAGCTGGGATAATAAGAAAAAAAAAGAATGATCATTAACTAATGCATCAATGACATGACTCTGTCTGTGGGGAAGCAGTGGTCTCATTGAGGAGGTCCAATATGCCCCCCTGCTGTGTCAGAGCCAAGGCTTTCCAATCAGCAGGGAGCAAAGTGTTCGCTGATTGCAGAGCAATAGATCTGACTCCGGTGGGAGCCTGTCAGACCTCTTTAGAGAGATATTGCTTCCATAGAGAAAGCAAGGGCCCTGTAACGGACCACCTGGTGGTACCACTAGCACTCCACTGGTCAGGTGCCCCCAGAGCACGGAATCTAATCCCCAGAGCACTTGTTCACCAGGGCCCCTGATGGTGGGGATGGACTTGGAGCGCTCCGAGACCAGGTCATGACTACTGAGTACACCCACCAGTGGTAGCGGTGTCTGCCAGGGGCTCCCACAGGGGAGAGCCTGATATGAGGAGGTCAGGTGACCCCGATGGGATGGATGGATGGCTGAGCAGGTGCGAGGTCAGACAAGCTGGGTCGGTAGCCGTGGGGATGGTGCAGTACAAAGCAGCAGGCAGAGAATAGTCGGGTCACACGCCAGGTCAGCAACAGAAGGTCAGATCCAATAGGGGCATCAGGAGAGAGGTCAGGCAAGCCAAGGGTCAGAGCAGGAGAATACAGCGTGGTCAAGGACAATCCAGGTCAGCAATAATCAGGATACAGGTACACAGATTCAGGGATTCAGAAAAGACCAGACGGCACTCAATGACAGTTCAGGGTGGTTTAAATATCGCGCCCTGCGCTGTCATTTGCGCCAGGCGCGCGCCCGCGGCTTCTAGTGCGCATGCGCGAGTTCAGACGCCGCGGCCGGCCCGGACCTAGTGCGCGCATCCCTGCACAAGGCTGCGCACTACGCCTGCGCCGGGACCAGCGCCACGGCGATCCCTGATAGGCCCCTCTCTGCAGCTTGCTGACAGAGGACAGCCTTTTCTACTTCTATAAAAACAATTGAGTACTGATGTGATACTTTTTTTATTTGCACTAACATGCAATTTTGAGGACAAGCTTTCGGGGTATGTCCCCTTCTTCAAGGTCCAAGCAGTACTATTACAAAGTTTTAGCAGAATGTTAGAAGAGATGTGGGGGATGAGAAAAAAAAAGAAACATTCTGCTAAAACTTTGTAATAGTACTGCTTGGACCTTGAAGAAGGGGACATACCCCGAAAACTTGTCCTCAAAATTGTATGTTAGTGCAAAAAAAAAAAAAAAGTATCACGTCAGTACTCAGTTGTTTCTGTCGCAAATGCACTAATACGGCTACAATCACCTACTTCTATAAAGAAACATATATAAAGACTTTGTACACCTTTTGTTTTAAAGCACTGGAATGTGTTTAGCTGATTTAAACAAAAAGTTCAAAAAGGCTCTAACTTGACTATAACTATGATTAATTTGCCTACCAATAGACTATAAGGCTCATTTTTTGGGGTACATTGTTTTTATTGTATGTATTTATTTTTGCATTCTTTGTGAAGTACAGCTGGCAGGTTTGTTTGCATCAAGGTTTGATCTAGGTCAGTGCCAAGGGTAGTGTTTGGGTCAAGGTCAGGGTCAGGATTTTTTTTGTATTTTAGTTAGGATAAAAAAAAAAAAAGCAAAGATGTGCACTATTGCTTCTGGGTTGTACTACGGGTACAAACAACAACATACACATACTGTGCAAACAACAGCTATTGCTTCTGGGTTATACTACAGGTACAAACAACAACACACACATACTGTATGTGATATTGCTGCAATCTCTAGGAGAATTTAATTTGGGTTATTCCTTGGTGGTAGTTTATGGCAGTAGCAAGAAATCTACAGCTACATTTTAAAAAATTATTCTTTTTTTTTTTTTACTTTATGTATTATATTTCCTTTGATTAAAAAAAAAAAGTCAGGAGATATTCATAAACAGTCACCAGCAAATGAAAGCCCAATTTGTCCTAAAAAACAAGGTATAATCCACCCGGATGTGCAAAGTAGTTGTGATGATTTGTACGGTTTTACTAACACATGTGAAAGCTGCAATATTATGCTTAGGCATTAATATTTGTTTTACGCTTAGGTGCAAAGGGGTTAAACGCTGCAATAAGTGTAAAAATGTAGAAGGGGAGTATGTCAAAAAATAAATGTAGCTTCTACTCCTTGAAAATTTTTTCGTTGGTCATATAAACTCAAAAGTCCCTGTTTGACTTGAACGCACCTTGTACATTGTGATACTGGAGTGTCCCACAACTTTCCTGCACCCTATCCAAGTTCAACTTTCAATAACGCATTAGAAAAGGATACCCCTAGACTGCTCATTGAGCCAGAAGAGTGACTGTTGATGTGTGCTGGCTGCCACTGCATTGGTTGGGGAAAAGAACCTGGGGCAAAACAGGAGGCCGTTTAGGCGGTGAGCACTACACTCAGTACAAACAGAGATCAGAAGGAAAAGTCTGCAGGAGCCTGGCATTGCACCCTCAATCCACTAGTTGTGGGTGCAATGCTTTGCAGGCTCCTTTTTGTTTTTAAACAGGATGAAAAGAACAGGTACCGGACAACCATGGAAATACCCAGTGACAACTGCCAAGAAAAGAATCTAAGAACAGAATACATTAAGTGGCCTGAGGCTGCACTGATTATAAAAAAAAAAAAAAAAAAAAGGTTATTTATATGTGTGTTTTAGATGCAGCGGCATATTTACTGCGAGGCGAGCCAAACAAGGCATTTGCCTAGGGTGGCGCCTCCTCCTGGAAGAAGGGACATGGATAGGGATCTGGTCAACTCTGGTTAGTGCATGGGGATGCGTGTTGGTCTGGTCGGTGATGGTAGTGGATGGGGGTGGCGTGGGGGGGGGGGGGTTGCTGGTGGGTGAGGGGTGCCCAATTTTAGTGTTGCCTAGGTCAGCACATGAACTAAATACACCACTATTTAGATGGGTGGTATAATGAGTACAATAATAGGATAAGAATGTTCGGTTGGTCTTGAAGGCTTCTCTTACTTTTCACTGAATGCTGGTTCCATGAGCAGCCTTTGCCTCTCCCAGCGCTGGTTGTCTTGCTCTGTCACAAGGCCATTTCCCATAAACCTGGAAACAAGGCAAACACAGAATATAAATACTAGGCCAGATGGATGAAAAAGTTGCTGCTGACAGAAGGTAGAACACCACTCAATGCACTGGCTGGGTATGTAGTCCATGTCTTGGAAGAGAAGACTACATTCATGGGTCTGCACAGGAAGGGGGTGAAGTGACATGGACACATTTTTATACCTCTTAAATTTAGAAGATTAGAGACTTTATGGAGCCAAAATATGTGGGCTCAAGACAAACTTGCTACACCATTGGTCACGTAGCCCATAGAGAATCCAAAAGAAAACAATGGTGAGGGTCCACTCACACCAGATGCGTTGGCAAGTTTTTTTCCAACACATTAATGCAAGGTCCTATAAAACCAAGGTATATGGGAACAGGTTTAAGCTTAGATAAGTTTAGACTGGACTTCCACTTTTAATGCATGCAGTGTAGCAGAGATCCCAATTGCACTTGTAAACCTAACAGCAGCCCGGAGTGGGGCTTTAAGTTCTGTATTCAACTATACCAAATGGGACCAGAAGGGAGAACAAAGGGGAGGGCAGGGGCGGACTGACAACTCATGGGGCCCCCGGGCAATAGGGTATCATGGGGCCCCTGTGTCCTTGCCCAAACTCAAAAAAGCCTATGAAAAGTACCAGGGGCATCGCATGGGGCCCCCTACTGACCCCGGGCCCTCGGGCAGTGCCCGAGTTTCCAAATGGTCAGTCCGTCCCTGGGGGAGGGTTTCAGTAAAGCTGCCTGAAGCTTGGCAAATGCTTGCCTATTCCCATTACAATAGTCTTTACAATCTGAGATTAAACAATCATTGTGTGTTTAAGGCTTGACTGTGTAGCCAGACATACCTTTCCCCAAACAGATGACAAGCGCGGTTATATTCTGTGTCCTTCTTGTACTTGGAAGACATGAGAATTTCCTGTACATGAAATGAAAATGCAGCGTTTCTATCACTACAATCACACTGGTTATAAACTAGTAGCCATAAAATAAGCTAAATACTGTAAGTCATCGAATCTAAAATGCGCAAATCACACACCCCATTATAATTTTAGATAATGACAAATAATGCACGCCATACACGGTTCGTTTATCGGCCGAATCTTCGGCCGAAAAAAGGAAAAATCGGTCGTTCTGTTGCCACCAATGATTACGAAAATCGGCCATTTATATATGTTATATAGATATATATATATACATATGTTAAGTCTTCCCAGTGCTTTTAAAGCTGCTTCAGGCTAGGTTCACATCTGTGTGGGTGGTGCCGCTGCGGGACCTGCACAAATACATGCAGCCCACACAGAGGATTGCGGGACTCACGGGTGGCAATCGCAACTGTACTGGGAACCTTGGTTCCTGTAGACAAAATACGATTCCTCCTGCGCTCCAGGACCCAGGCCGGTGGTGAATAGGTGAAATCAAACCCAAACGAAACGACCACCAGAGCATAAAAGGTCGTGCAGCTCCAAAACAAGGCTGAGGAAGCCCGAACAATACTACAAAGTAAAAAAACAAGAAGCGCACCAACCTTGCGCATTACCTCAGTAATCAAAATGTATTAGTAAAGGAATGGTACTCACAAACAGCGAATGAAAACAGGCATGTAAGTCCTCCAAGGGACTTCAGAGACAAGAGGCCAGCGCGAATCCCATCATGGGGGCAGACACTCAGTACAGCTGACGCGTTTCGAAGGACGTACCTTCTTCCTAAGAGCTCCGAGGAAGAAGGTACGTCCTTCGAAACACTTCTTGTTTTTGTTTTTTTTTTCACTTTGCAGACTTGGTTCCTGTGCAGGCTGCACTTTCTGAAAAAGTGCAGGGACTTCTTCCCCGCGTGGCCCAGGGCACGGGAGTCCATTCAAATGAACGGGCTC